ATAGCACCATGTTGGCTTGAGTCCCGATTTACCAAGCTAAATCGCTTCTCAACGGTAAATACCAAGTGCCAAGGACCCCAGGCTAGTTGCGACAAGACCACAAGACCGCCGCGTCTTGGTAGCTTCAAAACACCGGCGCACATCACCCGGACCCTCCATTTACAATGAATCGCATGCCTCCCCCGGAAGGGCACCACGCGCATGCGGGTTCGCATGTAGCATACGACCCCTCATGGCGCCCTGCATACCCCCCGACATTCGATAACCACCTCTCCGACCCCCGCCGCTCCGCAAACCCCCAGACTACCCTACCCCCGCAGCCAGCAGGATACCCTGTGATGCCCAACCGTGAGCTGCCACAGTTAACACCGGAAGGCCCCTACGGTCGTCCGAATGGCCATGGCCTGCCCCTACATGCGCCCGTGCATTCCCCGCAAGACCCAATTCCCCAGAACTTCCACCAGCCAATGAATGGCGCGCCGCATGAGGCCTCACCTGATTATCGCCCTCGTATGGGCTACCCGCCGCCAGATCAGATCAGCAGTGCTGAGCATACACCCGTTTCGGGTGCCCTGCCTCCCGCCTCCCAATTCATGACACCCGTTGCCCAAATGGCGAGTGCTACGCCGCCTGCGGGGTATGATCAGGCATTTTATCAAAACCAGACGTTTGGAGCACGCCAGCGTAAGGCGAATAGAGCTACGCAGGTATGTTAAGCTAGTAGAACACAGTATCGTTTCGGGGGATGCTAGACTAATACTCGAGCTATATAGGCTTGTGACCAATGCCGAGCGAGGAAAGCAAAGTGTGATGAGGGACGACCAAATTGCAGTCACTGTAAAGAGAACAATCTGGGCTGTGTCTACAAGGAGGTGCCGCCACATAAACAAGAGAAGACCACCCAGCTGGTATTGGATCGACTTTCCCAGATAGAGAACCGCATGGAGGAGCGAGACAACCGCATGGATGAGCGTTTCGAAAAAATGCAAATGCAAATGCAAGAGCAATTGCTGAACAAGCTGGGCAATCAACCACCTCCGACTGTCCAAGAACGTCCGTCTCTTCCACCACCGCCACCGCTCATCAAGCAGGACCCGCCTTTCAAAACAGAGATGCCTCGTCCCCATGTCCCAACTCCAAATATTCTGGATCCCGGCAGTCAGTATTCACAATTTGGCCAAAATCTGGGACCCATGGACCCGAGACTCGAAGATCAGAGGGAGGCTGAGGGAGAGCTCTCCATCCCAGTGGAGCACACCACTGCAGCTCACAAGCTATTGATGTGGCCGTCAATTAAGAGGCTGCTACACCCTGAACAATATGACGAGGATTATGTGATGCGTTTGGAAGAAGAGCGCGGTCTCCTGAGCATATACGGCCAAGGCGAGATTTCATACACTGCCGATGACAGTCAATTACCAATGGATGGTGACTCCAAGGGCTCCAAGGGTGTCCGACCCGACGGGGATGGCGCAGGACCAGATGCCGATGTCGATATCGACGAATTTGGGAACATGAAGCTGGATGCTGCAACTGCTAGGCGCTACTATGACAGCTACATCGAGCACATGTTTAAGCTCCACCCATTCCTCATGATGGGTGAGCTCAATATCAAGGTCGACAATTTCATCCGATGCTATTGTCGCCCTAATACTTCACCGAGTTCGGCTTCCAGTTACACACGACTAGCGCGCGATGGGCCGCCACCAGCCAAAAGGAGGCGGTCGAACGAAAACCTAGGTGTGCGTGGCGAGTTCATGCAGACCATCTCCAACCCGCCGCGGCCACGGGTCGGCAAAAATATCGACAATGCCTTGGTTATCCTGTGCCTGGCCCTTGGAGCTATTTGCGAAGCTCCTGCCCCTCTCCCTGGGCCTATCATGGACAAGAAGATTGACTACCCCAACCAGCGCATTCCTGAACCGCTGCCCCCGTTTATTCCTCCGCCGACTCTAAATGGGACATACGTTACCAATGGTGTGCTCTCCCCCGCAAACTCTGACTCGGCGGCCATGCAGATGTCGCTTTCGAATTCTCTTTATACTGTGCCAACTCAGCCTCCCGGGCAGTCTTTCCCTGACAGTCCACTCAACAAAGGCATACCAGGTCTGTCAAGGAGAGATGTGACAAATGTGCAGGATGAACAAGGGAACACGAAGAACTACCAGGCTATTCCTGGCCTGACTCTCTATGGATATGCGACCGCAATATTGGGCCATCTGCAGGGTGGTAACGAGCTAGAGCATGTCCAGTGTGGGTTGCTCGCTGGTCTTTATGCCGGCCAGCTGGCCCATCCCTTCCAAAGCCACAGCTGGATTTATCAGGCCTCAAGGGCTTGCCAAGTTCTTGTGAGAACAAAGCGATATGAGCGACTCGAAGAGGGGCCTACGCAGGACTTGTATAACTTCGCTTACTGGACGTGTCTGCAATTGGAGAGTGATCTGCTCGCGGAGCTGGATATTCCAGCGAGTGGCATCTCCCGCTCCGAGGGTCGGATGGCTATTCCGAAAGGAAAATGGACTATCATTCTACCGAACGATCTCAACGCACCCCAAACGATGATGATGCTGTTTTATTCTGCTCAAATCCATCTACGGAAAGTCTTGAATCGAGTTCATACAGACTTATACAAGGTCGAAAAGCAAGGCCAGACACGATGGTCATCCACCGTTCAAGAAGCTCTGAGCCTAAACCTCGACCTCTGGCGTAAAAGCCTACCACAAAGCATGCAGTGGGACGAAAACGATCCACCAGCAAACGAAATTAACGCCGCTCGCATGCGTGCCAAGTATTACGGTGCCCGGTACATCATTCACCGACCTCTTCTCTACCACGCATTGCACTACGGCCATACAGGTGCCCGCGTCGGTCCAGTCGGCCACTCATCAGTGAACTCGCCTACCTCGCAACGATTGTCTCCCTCGATGCTGCACAGTGCTCGGGCTCCGCACATGGCGCGTATGTCTAGTGACATAGGCTTTATGCCAGCCGCAGTCTCCGCGGACTGGCAACCACCTAAAGTCCGTTTACAAGATCTGCCGAGGAAATTGAAAGGGGCCTGCGACATCTGCATTAAATCGGCCATCAAGAGCACGGAGGCTTTTGACGGTGTAGGCGGACATCGGTTGGTCGTTACCAACATTTTCGGCACTGCCCATGCGTAAGGAATCCTCTGACCCTGTTTCAAAGAATCACAGCTATGGAGATGAGACTAACCTATTTTCTTTGCAGGCAATTTGGCAATATGCTTGTCCTATCTGCAACTTTCATGTCAAGTTTGAACGAGCTTGTCGAGCCAGAGCAACTCGATCGTCTCCTTGTCCGCACAATAGGATTCCTCATTCAAAGCGAAAATATATCCCCCACCCTCCGCGCTGATGCTCGCATTCTCACTGAAATCTACACGATGATCTTCCATCATCCTCCTGATTTGAGACGAGTCACCAGCATGAGTAGCCACACTCCCAGCATGAGCAGTCATACCCCCAGCATGAACAGCCAAACTACCAGCATGAGCTTCCCTTAAATGTGCATCTAGCGTCCGAGTTATTTTTTTGTCCTGTTCCTGTGGGCTTTGCAACCCGATACCTGATATCCTATATCCCTATGAACACATCATGCATGTCTCTGCCTCTGTCCCTTCAAGCCCGAGTCCTTACACGCTCAAATCTGTTATCTGCCTGTCTTCTATACCTTGTGCACTATATAGTCCTTTTCATTGATGATTCCCCAACCCTATCCGATTCAACACTCGACACTCGTGCATCTGAGACAAGATCAGATGACACGGGATTTATAGGCGGTGATTGATCGGTATGGCTTATTTTTATACGCCGAGACATCTCACCCATTCTTTCATTGCCTCTCTTCAAGTGATGACTGGATTGGCTTTAACTCGTTCCTTTTTTTTTCCTTCTCTCTCTTCCTCTTGTCTCGGATTTCGAAGCATTTCGTGGCTCCGACGGTTTGTCCCCGCAGAGGTACGTGGAGTTATTGTCTTGTGTGGTTATTCTATTTACATCACATGCATCCCAAGCCGTACACGTACGTTGGATGTTCTTGGATGCTCTTACAATATGCCAACTTATTTCTGTTGATTTGGCTGCGCCATATCGTTTTCATTTCCATATTCAATGCGAAAGTTTGCATTTCGTGGTTGGCTTTTGGTGTTATTGCATTATAGCTCATCTTTAGTGCGAGCTGTCTTTGGGGGATTAGTTGCTGTAAATTTCCTTCTCGGTAGTTTCCCAGACTGGACAGGACAGATCAATTGAGATGAAGTCCTGATATTGCTGGATCAAACCCTAGTGGGAATGGTAGCTTTAGGATTCGTGCACAAGCTTGGAAGTACCAGACCCTGCGGTTTCGTGGGCCCTTCCGCTCCCACGGTTTCAACTCCCACGGGTTTCATCAGGGCCGGCCGGTATCAAACCAAAATTATTCAAACGTCTAATTAGAATAATTTGGACGAATAGGCATGTATATGCTATTACTATACCTATCATTCCTGACAATCACAGAGAAAGCAAATGCATGCTGCTCGCGGACCTCGGCTTCTCTGCATTGTGCTGATCAAGAGTGTGTTAGAGACCGTATACATACAGGCATCCTTCGTTATCTTTCAGGTCTTGAAATGGTAAAAATCGACATACATCCCAACCCAGACATGACAAAAAATGCAAGAAATGGCCCTCAAGAGAAGAGATCGACACCTATTCCTATACCAACCAGCCAATGCTTATATAACCTCAATCTTCACAGCTGATGTGCTCGGCAAATTCACCTCTCGAAGTTACTTGCCATCATTGCTTTTGCCCAATACACAGTCCGAGGCTGTTATAATGTCCGCATCGAACATCGCAGACGTAGCGTCCAAAGTCCGCGGCTCCTAATCAACAGCGCAGGCATCTATACCAACAACCCCAGCCTATACGTGCCGCTTGTTCGAGGTCAACCCGCTCGTGCACTACTGGCTCTGGCAGGAGTTTCTGCCTGATACGATGGAAGCGAAGTATGGTATCGTTTTTACTGTGGCTTTGCTTGCTGGGCTCACCGTTACGCATAATGTGGTGGATTACTTGGCGTCTAAGGCTGCGGCTATTCCGTTCCACGGGGGACTTGTTGCTGAGCTGGTTACATGATACCAGGCACTTTATGTCCGCACTGTCCTTGCTACCCAAGGCTTTATCAAAACCGATAGTATTGAAGATTTGACCCTTGAGGATACTTCGTTTAATCCCCTGCTTCACCCTGCGACCATTACCGCGGAGCTTGTTAAGCAAGCGCTCAAGGCTGGGTGTGGACATGTTGTTGTTCCTGGATCTGTTTGGTGGATTGCAAAATGATCAAAGGGTTGTCTGGATGGTTTCAGCATTTGCTGGGACGTAGGTTGGAAAAGGGTTTCCAGTTTGATGGAGCTACTGGTTGGACTTGATTTGGTCTTTGATACTCGAATAGTGAGTGGTGTTGTGGCTATATGGTTGCGCTATTATTTGTCATGTTGATGCAGATAGTTATTGCACTCTTATGACAATAATATTTGCACACCCATTTAAACTACTTTGGGTATAGCGCTTCTTGGCCAGGCTGATGCTTTTAGTTGTTCGCAATGGTATAGCTAGCATGTGACTTGTTTTTATATAGGCATTCGGGAGTGCTCTCTGCCGAGAAGGATAGAGTGGATATATTTAGACCAGATACCATTCTCTTCAGATGTATCGTCAAGGCACGGAGTACTCCGTATGTTGTAGTCTATACTTCCATAGATGGCTGGGAAGAAGTGACCCCAGCCAGCCACATTATGGTCCGTGCACAATGCTTCACCGCGATTTTGATTCGCTCCACCTGTTGCACCAACAGTTCATCAGCGCTATGAACACATTTTTCACAGTTGCATTTTTCAGCAGATCGCCTGTATCTGATCTAACCCCTAACACACAGATTCTATCCGATACTCAACACTAGAACAAGAGAATAAGGTGAGGTTAAGGGCCATCAAGTTGAGATCCACTGGGGGCCTTTCCCGGATACAAGATCCATGGGTCTGCTCCGTTGTTTACTCCCCCAAACAAACCCATAACATTGCATTCCTTCTGACTTACAACAAACACTTCCACCCCACACCTGCCCCCATTCCAATCATTCCAATCATTCCAATCATTCTAATCCTTCCAATCCTTTCATTCCACGTGGTTCGCTCTGGCTATCCACATTAATTGCCTACTATGTTGAAAGCCCTGATGGGCGGGGGCCGCTCGTCGTCCTCATCCGACGTTCGCAGCAGTTCTAAGAGCAGCCGGCGCAAGTCCGACAGACCTGACAATTCTGACACAAGATCGATCTCAAGTCGCAAGTCCGCACGGGGTGACGACCGTGACTGCGGCCTGGGTGATTTGTCGTCTTATCCGTCTTCGGCTCCCCGCAGTAAGCGTGGCCCACTTAGCACCGCTGGCGACTCTATCTCAACCTATGTGACCGCCGAGACAGAACCCATTGATGACGCCGATCGCGACTATATTGAACGCACACCCAAACGCAGAGACAGTGAACGAGAAAGCAAGAGTTCTCGTCAGCGCGACCAGGACCGATCTGAAAATCCAGAGCGCGAGAAGAGAGGTAGCCGCCGAGGAACAGAAGATACTCTGGACGATGACTTGGATCGGGAGCGCGACAGTCGCGAGCGTCGCCGCACTCAGTCAGGGGACCCGTATGTGCCTCCGATCTCTACAAACGTGTCGGCTAGTGCCCCCGGCGCGCAGTTTGCCGCCGAGATTGGCGCACCGGGATTCTCGCAATTCCCCATGCAATACGACACTGGGATGCCATCCGCCGGCCATTCTCCAGCGCATGAAGTTCCGTATGATCCGCACGTGCAACAACAATTCCCCGGCCAATTCCCAGAGCAAGTTTCTGCCCCGTATCGGCCGCCTAACCCTGCTGGCGCTGCAGCAGACTACTATGGTGACCAAGGCCAGTCTGTTGAGCACCAACCCGGTGTTCGACCGGCTCCCCCAAGTGTGCTTCCGAACACGCAAGCTCACTTGATGGCAGCATCTCCATCGGCTAATCCACCCCCAGAGCCTAGTAGCCTGGGCGAAACTGGTGCGGCGGCGGCCTATTTTGACGACAACTTCCATGCTCCGGCACAGCAAGATCAGCCGCCGACAGTGCCTCCATTTAAACCATCGAAACCGTCTAAGCCTTCGAACCCTTCATCGTCGGGCGTTCCCCCCGCCGCCGCCGTTGGAGCTGCCGCCTATGGTATTAGTGGTATGATGTCTCACTCTGAGTCGCATTCCCCTCCGCAGCACACTACTTCGTACACCCAGCAGGGTCAGCCAGTGGTACACGACCACCAGCCAACGGTACATGACCACCAGCAAATGGTACATAACCAGTCAATGGAATACCCTCCATTCAAGCCGTCCCATTCGCATAGCTTCAGTGAAGGTGTCGGCATTGCGGCTGCAGGTGCTGCAACGGGGTACATGATAGATCATCATCATCACCCCTCTAGCCCCGAGCACGAACCTCATTACGCTTCTCAGCATTACGAGCAATCCTCTCAGGCTGGTGGTATGCCGCCGTATGCCCCTGGCCCTAGTAATGCTTTGTATGCTCCAAGCGCGGGAGGATACGGTGCTCATGCTGCCTACAACCCGGGTTACTATCCTCACGGACCCAGCGCTCTGGCTTTCCAAGAGCGTCAGCGTGGTGCCATGGGAAGATTTGTTGATTTCTGGCGTGACCCTGAGGCCGTTGGAAGATTTGAGGACTACACGGAAAGTATAGGTGTGTGCAAATACTGTTTCCAACCTGGCACGAGCTCCATCGATGCTCCTCGCAAGCACCATTACTACAGAAACCGCCGATACTCCGCCGACCGGCGGAGCAGTGGGAGCTCCAGAGTAAGCAAAAACAGCCGATACAACTCCTCTGAAGATGAGGGCCGCCGACGGTCAAAGTCCAAGCAGTCTTCCTCGTGGTTGCCTGGCATGCTAGCCGGTTATGCGACCAAGTCGCTCTTCTCGAGCAAGGAGTTTGACGATTCTTACAGCCTTCGCTCCGGCCGAGTGCCCTCCTCCCACAGGGAAGAAGATGACCGAAGGAGCCATACCTCTCGTGGTGTGACCCGTCGTTCTGGCCGCAGCCCTCACAGAGACTATCGAGCAGACTCCAAGCATGCATCTCAATCTGGATATTCTCGGCACACAAGCTCCCGATCTAGGTCTTCCTCTTCTGGCCGGCATTCGTATCTGAAGGAGGCCGCACTTGGTGCCGCAGTGGGTGGGGCCTCGCTTGCTGGTGCAAAGTCGCGTAACCGCTCCCGCAGTCGTTCTCCTGAAAGACGACAACGCCGAAAGGATTCATCTTCATCATCGTCCTTTGTTAATATTATCAGGCCCAGCAAGAAGTCCATCGCTGGTGGAATCGGGTCTTTCTTCACTTCTTCTTCTGAGAACAGGAAGAAACATCACACCAAGAAGCGGAGCGGTTTTTTCTCTTTCAAGAGTGGCTCTTCATCCTCTTCATTGGACAATGATCTTGCCTTCGGACATAGGCTGCCGATAAAATCTTCCAAGCCTAAGAAGAAGGGAAAGAAGGGCCCAGATGTCGATGCCGCTTTGCTAGAACTTAGCGACACGGCAATCCGTTTGGCTGGCTCCTCGCCCCATGCTCCTGGGCGCACTGCAGGCCAAATGTACACAGCTCGACCCCGACAATCTAACTACGCCCACTCTACCACACAGGATGAAGAATGGGTCGATGCTGAGTCAGAGGACCAGTCCTCTTCAAGTGTTAGCTCTGCGCTCGCATTCGGGGGAAGCAGCGCCGAGTCTTCCTCCGACTCCGCCAGTAGCAAATGGGGCTGGAGATGGGGAAGCAAGAAGGACAAGAAGAAGAAAAAGGACAAGCGGTTGAGTGCTACAAATGCCGCTCTGATAGCTGGCGCTGGAGCCGCTGCGATTTCTTCCGCTCGCCACCGTGATAGTAACCCCCCAATTAGGCCTGGAAGCCTGCAGCAAGTTTACCCAATGCCTACTTCCGACCCATCTCGCTTTGATGTGGCATCTGTATCTGCAGGAGAGCCAACTCTCATCAGGCCAGGGCCCATTCCCCTTCAGCAGCCTCAGCCCTTCACCCCAGTCTCCCAATCAGTGTACACTACCCAGGGAGCTGTTCCGGGGTCGATCCCCGCGTACAGCGCCCCAGTGGCCCCACCCCTCTTCGCCAATGAAGTTGAACACTATGACTCGCAGTGGCAGTTCCAAGGTCCTCGTGATGCAGCATGGGCACCAGCAGAATCAACATACGCCGACCGCCGCAGAGATCATCGACGCAGTGATTCCTCTCCTGTTTTCCCCACCCAGGAAACTGCTTCCACCCTCAAGCGCCGGTTCACTGCCAAGGATCAAGCGTCTGTGCAGTTTAAATTGACGGAAGAGCAAGCAGAGAGGGAACGCCACCTTACTCGTCGCAATGAGAACTATCGAGGTGAAGTTGCTGATCAACCGGTTCAACTGATTGACCGAGAGGAAGAGCTGGCCCACCAGGAAACCGAGCGTCGAGAGCGACGCCGAAAGGAACGAGATGAAGAGCGCCTGTATACCGGCGGCAGAGAAAATGACTCCTCATCATGGGTTGCTGCAGCGGCTGCCGGAGCTGTTGGCGCTGCCGCTGCCAGCACTATTCTTTCTCGCAAGACAAATGATGACGAAGCCTCTGAAGCCAGCCAGCGATATAATGAGCGCCGAGAAAAACGCCGCGCTGAGCGGAAGCGCGATACTGATACAGTAGCGGATGCGATCGTGTCGCGGTTTGAGCCCACTCAGCCTATTAACGAAGAAGTGACCACGGGGGAATACTGCGAAGACCAGAAGAAAGGGTCTCCTCAATCACCCCGTCCAGCACAGGTTTATGACGACTACGCCGAATTTTATGCCCCCGAGGAGATACGACATAGCCCAGATGATCATGCTCGCAGCCGTAGCTCCACTAATATGCCCACCATTGTGGAGATAAAGCCCGCCAGCGAACGAGGTACACATGAGGAGCTCGCACCCACAGAGTCAAACTATTCATACGAACCCTATCAAAACGTGGACCGCCTCCCATGGCGAGTCCCTGGGCTCAACTTAATTGAGCCAACTCCTCCCCAAAGCGTGAACGGTAGTGCTGTTCGTGACGCTACTTCTCCAACCACCCCTGTGAATAAGTCTTATGATACCAAGCCTCACGAACGACCAACCGGCTCCCGTGTCTCCTGGGGTGAGCACCAAACTCACGAGTACGAAGTCCCTTCTTCTTCTGAGCAGGATCCTCTTGAGCATGATATTTCCCCTACCGAAATTTCCGCCAAGGATGTTCCTCTCCCGGCATCCAAGATATCCCAACCCAAGGATATTTCCGGCCCATTGCAATATGGGGCCGATATTGAATTCGCGGCCACAATTGCTGCTGCGACCGCCGCAGCTGGGTTCGACCCCTCTTTGATCACAGACGACCCATCCTACCACACCCGCACTTTCCCTCCCGGGTCGGAGAACGAACACACATTTACCTCACCCTGTTCTGCATCGGCTCGCAAGCAGCCCCACGGCTTCGTCGAGGGTGAGGTCGAAGAAATTGACCCCAAATCTACTAAGAATATCACTTCTACCCCCGAGCACGTGATCCAGGACAAGGATGAGCTTTTCTTCGACGAGCCAGAATCCCTCTTAGGAGATCAGGATAGTTCATCGGGCCGCCGTGACAAGTCCTCAATTGCGCAGGAGGTCATTGAGCAGCTGAATGGTAAATATGGCAAGCGCGACCGTACCACTTCCCCTGAAAAAGATGTAGATGTCCTCTCGATGCCTGGTGGCTTTGATACAGCCAACTCTATAGACTTAGCCGACGCCAGATCCGTGGTCTCAGCGCCGGCGCCTGTTATCATGGACCCAGAGACCCCGGCCAAGTCCAAGTCTAAGAAGCCAAGGGAGAAGGGCGATGCCGTTGATCTCTCCGAGTTCCAAGAGCGGGAAATCGCCGAGTCTCCTATTCTGAAGGACGAGACACCGAAGTCCCGCAGCTCCCGGCGTCGCGGCGACGACTTTGAGATTTATGAGTCACAGGAGACGTCTCCATCTCGGGCTGAGACTTATTCTGTTGTCTCTGCTCCCGTATCGAAGGATGAAACATCCAAGTCTAAGCCCAGGAAATCCAGAAGGAGTGATAATGACTTGGGCATTGCTGAATACCTTGAGTCCGTGGCTCCGGAGTCTCGTGATGATTCTGTCTCTGTTATCTCTGCTCCTGTTTCGAAGGACGAGAGGTCCAAGTCCAAGTCCCGCAAATCTCGACGGAGCGGGGACGATTTCGCGATCTACGAGTCACGCGAACCATCTGAATCTCGGGATGATATTCGCTCGGTTACCTCTACTCCCATCGGCAAAGAGTACGTGTCAACCAAGTCAGGGAAACCAAGACGCGGTGGTGATGATTACGAGCTCCCTAGATCGCAAGAGATCTCCGAATCTCGTGACGACAACCGGTCTGTCTTCTCTGCACCTGTCTCGAAAGACGAGACCAGCAAATCTCGCCGGTCTCGACGTAGTGGTGATGAGTTTGATATCTCCCGACCAAGGAATGTCTCTGAATCAGCGAAGTCTAGAAAGTCTCGTCGCAGTGGCGATGATTTCGATCCACGTCGTGATGCCGAAGCGGCTTCTGATGACGCGGAAGGTGACGATGAAAAAAGAGACGTCGCAAGCGTCGATCCAACCGTGAAAGTGACACCTTGTCTGTCGATGACGATGCTCGCTTGGCCATTACGGACATTGGAGACGACAAGTCTGAGCGCCGCAAGCATCCCCACCGCTCATCCCGTGAAACTAACATCGATGACAATGCCTCTATAACCTCTTCTCCAGCTCAGGTTGACGAATCCCTGGAGAAGCGCCGTGGCAAGGATAAGAAAGAAAAGAGTGCAGGCTTTTTGCGAAGTGTCTTTGGCTCACAAGTCTCGGCCCCAGCTGAGAATATTCGGCCTGACCATTCTCGCTCTTCTTCTTTAGATAAGCGCTCATCCCGCGAAGCGATATCTGAAGCTGGTGTGGATGATGAACGCCGTCGCCATAAGAAGCACCGCAGCTCTAGCAATGCTGATGAGCTAGGTCCTTACATGTCGGACAAGGAGAGGAGTACTCAGGACGACACAAACCTGAAGGAGTACAGGTCTAGTAGACAGCAAAAGGAAGAGCGGCGTCTTCATCGATATGAGGAAATCGTGGATTCGGGAAGGAAACGGGAATCCGAGAAGGTATAGCATCTGAACTTTTCTTTTTACTTACTTATGTTGTGATTTTTGTTGTACACTTTATTTTCCCATATAGCTTCCCTTTTTTCGCTGGTTGATCTAACCAGCTTGCACAAAAACCACAAAACCCGAACAAAAAAAGAAATGTACTAAGCTTTTATTGGTTTTATTCCATGTGCAGGACGGATATAGTGCCAACTTCGACGATCAATTCTTTCTAAGGAAGCGCCCGGATATTCTAGCCGCGGATCAGCGTGAAGATCATGGTGCTTCGTGGCTTCCAGCACCAGCGGTTAGCGCAGCTGTTGTAGCTGCAGGATCAGAACTGAATGAGATCCCGCAGCAGAGGCCCCGGAGCCAATCCACCTCTCCCCCAGCCACAGAGAGGACACTTGACTTGACCCCGAAGTCTCTGAGCCGCCCCGCTTCACCTGGAACAGGCCGCCCCCAGGAGTCCCCATTCCCCAAGCAACGCCGACACTCCGTGGCTAAGTCCACCACTGAATCGCCGACAGCCGTCCCTCTCCACTTCCGCCGTCCCCCAACTTCCCCAGGCCTCTCGCGCGCAGTCCCCGTTGAACAACCCTCCCCCACCGCCTCCCCAGGCTCTCCAAGCCAGCAACGCAACCGCCGGCCTGCATCGGTCGAGTTTCGAAACTCGCGCGAGATACGCCCTCTATGGCTCGTCGAGCGCCACAGTTTGATCAAGGGTGAGCCTGAGACTGAGGAGCCCTTGCCATCGCTCCCATCTAGCAAGACTTCCTCCCGAGCCCCGTCAGTAGAGGACCTAAAATCCCTTCGCGAAGATGACGGCATTAAGAGCTGGGAGCATGTAGATCTGAGCCACTCAATCATGGAGAACCAGCGGCCGACTGGTCTGATGATTTCAACTGACCAAACCAACGAGAGTCATGATAGAGACCTTGATCTCCTCGGCTCGCAGCAGGCCACGCCCACTGCTGAACACTTCCAGCACGCGGAGCCCAGGAAGGAAAGGCCCAGATACGAATTTCACTCCCCCTCTGAGCTCCTGCGGGACCCCGCTGTTCTGGACGAGTTGCCTCCGTCACCTACACTGGACATCCTGCCTTCAGTAGAGGGCTCCCTTGTTGGTGTTGGCTTTAGGGAGCAAGAAACGCAGCGTGCGCTTGATGCTCTTGAGGGCGTATCTCGCCCTCAGCCTGAGGCGGAAACTCCCGCCCAAGAACGTAATTCGTCCTTCAGCAGCGCTGCAGATTTCGCCAAGGGCGCTGGCTTTGCCGGTGTTGTCGATGCAGCTGCCGTTGCCGTTGCCGTTGCCAGGGAGCATGACGAGTCTCGCTCCTTACCTGCAGATGAACCCACTAAGACACATGACTTCGGTGATATTGTCGATGCAGCGGTTGCCGCTGACGGTTCCTCTGACGACCATGGCAAGGCCCTTATCAGCGAGGAGACGCTCATTGAGCCCGTCCCTGCCACCGAAGAGAATCACTCCGCTGACAATGAGTCCGTGCACCCAGATATGGAGGCAGCCAAGGAAGTCGATCCTGAATCGACTGAACACCTTCAGTCTTCCAATCTTCAAACTCAACCAGAGACTGAAGTGGCCCCCGATAAGAATGTGGCTACTCAATCTCCTAAGAAGAGAAACAAGAAGAAGAAGGGCAAGAAGAATCAGGCCCAAGATGCGGATCTGGTAGCCTCCGAGGAACCGGCCGATCAAGAGAATTTATCCAAGAAGTTGGTGCAGGACCCTGCTGAAGTGCCTGTGGCTGAAGCTGTTACTGCTGAGCCTAAGCTTGCTGTCACTGAGCAATCCGAGGCTGAGTATGTTGAGGTACCCCACGAGCCTAGGCCTGGGCTTCAGGTTGATGAGCCTGCAGTCGAAGCTGCTCCTGTTGAGTTAGCCCCTGTCCGGACTGCTCCTAACCTCGAGGTTGCGATTCCTAAGCAATATGAGGCTGAGCTTGCCGAGGTATCCCGCGAGCTTAAGCCCGCGCTTGAGGTTGATGAGCCTGTGGTCGAAGCTACTCCTCTTGAGTCTGCGGCCGTCGAGAACGATTCTGTTAAGTCCGATGTTGCTATTCCTGAGCAACCTGAGGCTGAGCCTATGGTTGAAACTACTCCTCTTGAGTCCGTAGCGGCCGAGAGTGCTCCTGTTAAGCACGATGTTACTATTCCCGAGGAAGCCGAGGCTGAGCCTATCGAGGCCTCTCGAGAGCTTGAAATTGAGCCTTTGGTGACAACGCCTGAAGTTGGCACGGCTCCTGAATCCGAGGCTACCCAGGACACCGCATCATCGACTAAAAAGGCTAAGCGTGACAAGAAGAAGCAGAAGAAGAAATCTAAAAGTGCGTCTACTTCTGACGAGCCTGCAGGTGATACTGTCCTTCCTCGGCCCCATGATGTTACCTCTGCCTCCAAGCAGAGTGAGGGCGAGCAGCAAGACATAGGTCTTGCTGCCGAAGAGATTCAAGCACCGCCCTTGCCCGAGGATATTGCTCCTTCCACTGAGAACACCTCTGACCACACTGTGATCAAATCTGCTACCACTGATGAAGAGCAAGGTCGAAGCCAGCAGGAATCCGGAGAGCTGGTTGAGCCTGTGGAACATGTGCCTAGCGAGGAATCTGTTCTACCTGTTTCCGAAGATCCCAGTTTGCCGGAGCCTGCTTTTACTGACGCCAACGAAAGCTCAATTGCCGGTGCCACTCAACCAGAAGTGGAGGAAATATCCCGCAGCCTGGAAGAGATTGATAACCCATCTACTCCAGAGGCCCCAGTCGATAGCACCACGCCTGAAATTCCCCAAACACCCAAAGAAGACACCGAAGGCGAAGACAACTTCGAAGAGGCCGTTGAAGAACATACTCCACAGCTCGCCGAGGAAAAGGAGCCTGCAACGGAACCTCGCATCGAAGTGGCTGCACATGACCCTGTAGACGCATCAGAAACAAAGGCAGAGAAGCGGAAAAGCAAGAAAAAAAAGAATCGCAAATCCCCTGCTGTCGAAGAAACTCGCGAGACTGAATCCCAGTTAGAAATCCAAGAGCTTGAACCTGAGCAATCAGCTGGTGCCGATCCTGCGGATACCCGATCCCCTCCAATTGGCGGTGAAGCCTTACCTTCTGATCCTGAACATCTTGAACAGCCCTTCGAAACCACCATTGAGGAGCCTGCAGCTGCCCAAGAGCAGAAGCAAGTTCCATTGGAGGCCACTGTGGATGTAACACCTGTTGCAACCGAGCCAGTGGGCCCCTTGGAGCCACCTGATGAACTGTCACAGCCAATTGCCATCGAGGTTCAGCCTAGCGCCGAAATCCTGGATCCTGCTGAGGAGGGTCCTGACGAAATCTCACAGCCTTCTACTGTTGAGACTCAACCCGAAACCGAAGTTCAAGCCGAGCCCGAAGTCGCCTTTACTACGGCCCAAAAGAAGAAGGGCAAAAAGAATAAGAAGAAGGGCAAGCAGAGTGAATCTTTCATTCCTGACGACGAGAAGTCTGCTGAATCTACCTCGCCGGTACCTGAGATTGAGGCTGCCACTAAGGATATAGCCAAGAAAGCTCCTCTTGTCATAGAAGACGCACTGTTGGATGCGCCTCCCCAAGAGAGCGAGATAGGGCTGCCCGTCAAGTTCGAACAATCGCTTGGGCCCGAGCCACTTCCCGAGGCTGAGCTACTTTCCGAGGTTATGCCGCCCGAGGAAGAAGCTTCTTTTGACCCCCTTCCGCAACCAGCGATACAGGCGACAGAGGCAGAGATGCCTAAAGAAGAGCCCATCGCACCCGAGGAGCAGCCCAAAGCCGAAGAATCTCCTGCCGAGCCAGAGGCTCCTATGACCGCTGCGGAGAGAAGGAAAGCCAAGAAGGCGAAAAAGAAACAGCAAAAGGAGCAGGAAGAGAGCATTGGTTCCATTGTCAAGCCCGTTGATGCTGTACCTGCGTTCGATGCCGAACCCGCTGATCCAAGCAGGGATATTGCTCCAACTGCAGAAATTGATGACGCTGTTCCAGCCGACTTCTCTGGACCGGTTTCTTCCGAGCATGCTCAGGCTGAACAGGAGGTTGCGCCTACACTTACAGAACCCGAGGCAGCTCCATTCACCGATGATACTCTTCTGCCCGGCGATACCGAGACTAACGAGGCAATGAAAGACATCGAGCCCCCCGCTGAGGCTAAGCCCTCGATAGAAGACGCTGCCCCGTCGTTTGAGATTGAGCCCACCGAAGCTCCCGCTAATGTTCCACTTGTACCGGAAGAAGCCACCGCTCCCGTCGATATGCGCCAAGACTATGAACAGCAAGACGATGTTGTCAAGGCAGAGGAGCCGAAGAGCGAGGATGTGACTCCAGTGCCCACCGAAGAGGCCTCGGCAAATTCTCCAGAGACCGATGCCCCCAAGACACATGAAAAGTTTCCTGAAATCGAGGTCCCAATGACTGCTGCCGAGAGGAAGAAGGCCAAGAAAAACAAGAAGAAGCAGCAAAAGCAAGAGTCTGTGCAGCTTGAAGAGAAGCCTACGCCTGAGAATAAGCCTACTTCTACCGAGGAGAAGAGTGGCGAACAATTTGGCAACATTTTGCCTGACCGTGAGGCCACAACTACTGCAAAAGCCGTTGCAGGCCTTGATGAGCCTACAGAACCCGAGGCAGCCCGTGACCTTGAAGCTGAGACCAAGCCTGGAGAGGAACAAGCTCCGGATGTGCCAATCCTCGATTCCGAACTTGCTCCCGAGACACCCGCAGACAAGATTATTCCTATACCGGAGATTGCTGAACTAGCTATTGATCTTCAAAATGACGACAAAGAAAGCGGCCTAGAGCCTACAGTTGAGGTTCCCGCTCCCATGGAAGACCCCCAGAAAGAGCAAAAGCTTGATTCGGCCGTCGGCGAGGAGCCTGTTTTAGACAAGTCTCTCGAAGACGAGCCCACAGAGTCTCCACCAGAGCCTGTTGTGGAGGAGATTCAGTCTACGGAATCCACAGAAAATCCAGTGGTGGAGGAGGCTGAAGGTGAACAGACGGCATCTTCTTCTAAGTCGAAGAAGAAGAATAAGAAGAAGCGCCAATCACTTGCCGCTGAGGAAGAGCAGCCTGTACCCGCCGACGAAGAGTCTAAGGCTGCCCCTGCCGAAGAAAAGAATAACCTCGCATCCCTGGAAGAGAAGCCTATGCCTATGCTAGCCGAGAGTGAATCCAGCGAGCCCGCGCTATCTAAAGAGCTTGAACAGCCTTCACACGATAGAGACACGGAGCCTGTTATTGTGGTCGAAGAGCCCTCTCCAGAAGAAACCACGCAGCTAGAGGCTGCTACGGATGTAGCCGCCACCGAGGCCGCTGCAGAGGCCTTAATGACTCCTGCTCAGAAGCGCAAGGCTAAGAAAGACAAGAAAAAGCGGCAATCAATTGCCGCTCAAGAGCAGCAGTCTATACCGACCGAGGACGAGTGCAAGGCTGTTCCCACCGAGGAAGAGGTTAAAATTATACCCACCGAAGAGGAACCTACACCTGTGCCTACTGAGTGCAAATCTACCGAACCCATATCATCTCAGGAGCCTGGGCAGACTTCTCCCAATAAAGATACAGAGTGTCCCAGTTTGACGGAAGAGGCGCCTAAGGCCGAAGAGCCCTCCTCGGAAGTCACAGCACAGGCAGAGACCCCTTCCGCCGGCACTGAGACCGCTGAAGAGGCATCAATGCCTCCTGCTCAGCAGCTGAAGGGTAATAAAGACACGAAAAAGCGGCAATCAGTTGCCACTCAAGAGCAGCAGCCTATACCGACCGAGGACGAGGTTAACATTATACCTACCAAAGAGGAACCTACACCTGTGTCTACTGAGTGTAAATCTACCGAACCTATATCATCTCAGGAGCCTGAGCAGACTTCTCAAGATACAGAGTGTCCTATTGTGACGGAAGAGGCGCATAAGGCCGAAGAGCCGTCCTCGGAAGTCACTGCGCAGGAAGAGGTCCCTTCCGATGCAGCCGGCACTGAGACCGCTGAAGAGGCATCAATGACTCCTGCTCAGAAGCGGAAGGCCAAGAAAGATAAGAAAAGGCACCAACTAGTTCTTGCCGAAGAGGAACAGTCCGTGCCTGTTGAGGGGTTTAGGTCTGAACCAGTCGAGAAAGAGGTCACACCTACACCAGCCGATGAGAAGCCCACTCTTGAACTGGCTCAGGCAGAGCTCACTGACCCTATGCCGACTCAGGGAACCGAACAACTTGCGGGGACTTCTATTATGGCAGAAGAAACGCCTGAGGCCGAAGATCCCTCTGTCGAAGAGGTCGCGCAGCAGGATCTCCCTACCCATGCAGCCGCCACCGAGGCCTCTGAAGAGGCATCAATGACTCCTGCTCAAAAGAAGAAGGCGAAGAAAGATAAGAAAAAGCGCCGATCCGTTGTCGCCGAAGAGGAACAGCCCATACCTGCTGAGGTGCCCAAGCTTGAATCCGCCCAGGAAGAGCCCACTGTCGAGAAAGATGCGCAGATTCCTGTTCTGACAGAAGACGCGCCTAAGGACGAAGAACCCCCCCTCGAAGACGTCACGCAGCAGGATACCCCTGCTGATGAAGGTGCTACCGAGGGCACTGCGGAGGAGACAATGACCCCCGCGCAGAAAAAGAAGGCCAAGAAAGACAAGAAAAAACAACGCAAGTCTGTTGCTTTTGACGACGATGCTACTCCGATCGAAGGGCCCAAGCCAGGTCAAGATTTATCTACACCTGAAGACAAGGTTGAACCTCAGGATGCTCCGGCTGACTTGGTTGTCTCTGGAGAATCAGCCGAGGAGTTGCCAGTGGCCGAAGAAACCACCAAGTCTGCTGCTAAAGGGGAAATTTTAGAGAAGATAGAAGAACTCGCTTCCTCTGAACAAAGCAAGGAGATCACCGACCATGAACTAGTCTCAACTGCTGCGCCCGACACCCCGGTTTCTACTGAAATCGAGTTGCCAGAGCAGCCGGAACAATATGCTCAGCCTCCCTCGGAGCCCCAGTCACCTAGTGCACAAGAGCCCGAAGTTGCCTTGACTACGGCGCAAAAGAAGAAGGCGAAGAAGAATAAGAAGGGCAAGTCTGTGGACTTAGCTGACAACGCCCCTGCTGCCACAGACGCAGCGCAGGAATCTGATCCTAAATCCGAGCTTATTGTTCAGACTTCCATCGATACTCCGGCTGCGACCCCGGAGTTGCAAGATAATCCAGCCTCTGAGCCAGTACAGCTCGCAGAGGGTCTCGAGCGTGGAGATACCATTGACGCCGAGGCTCCCAAGGCCGAGGAAGTCGAGCCAACAGAAGCCGTATCCGACGCTTTGCCGAAAGAGGAAACCGCTGGCGTCAAGGAGACCGACAACGAACCTCCGGGGACTGAAGAAATTGTCGATGCTAAGGCAACTCCCTCCGAAGAACCAGAGGCCGGTGCCCATTCTTCTGCCGACCTGAACGAAGAAGCTGGTATGTCAACCAGGGAGCGACGCAAAGCTGCCAAGAAAGCAAAGAAACGCCAGTCGAAGAATGTCGACACCGATAAAGACGTTGCAACATCCGATTCGCCTTTTGCCCCGGGAACCGAGCCTGCTACACCCATTGAAGCGACCAACAGCGTCGAAAAAGTCCTCACCTCTACAGACACAGACGTCCCTGGACTTTCGGCCGTATCGGCACCCTCGCCTGCGCAACATGACGGTAAAGAACATCAGTCCCACGACTTACAAACTTACGACGCCACGGCGCAAGATACGGCCTCGACTGATAAATACGTGTCTTCGCAGGTAGAGCAGACGCCGACAGAGAGTCCTTTTTTAGATTATCCTCCCCAACCCGTGCTTGAGCGTTCAGTTGATTCCGGCGAGTTGGTGGAGGGAAATGATCAGCAGAAGCGCGATGTTGCCCTTGCTGCACATGGACGGGAGGAGGAGATGGTTGAGCCTGCATCTCTTGAGGAAATGAAGGAAGTGAATGATGGTGAGAATGTTGAGGAGAAATCGTCTATGCCGGAATCAGGTGATATCTCAATGAAGAAAGAAATTGAAGAGACGTCTGTGGATGTGCCCATTGATGCTGTCCCTGAGGCACAGACACAAGAGTCTCGTGTGGGGGTGGCTTCTAAGACAGCTGGCTCGAAGAAGCAGAAAAAGAAAAAAAACAAGCAAGAAGAGGAAATTGCAGCTCCTGAGCGCGAGACCTATATTACAGAGGACAGGGAGCAGCCTGAAGCTGCGCCTTTGGTTGAGGGCGAGCATCAGCCGGCGATAAAGGAAATCACTGAGCCTGAGCCTATTGCCGAGGCCGAACTAGTGCTATTCCCAGAGAAGCAACCGGGAGATCACTCACATGACATCGAAGAGATTGTCGCTGGCCAGAAAACCGAGGACGTTGATGAAACCAAGGATATTAGTATTCCACAAGTCGAGGCCGTTGCTCCTCCCAGTGAAGCGACCACGCAGCCAGAGGCCGATGCAGTCGCCGAGTCCGCTGAAGAGGCGCCAATGACTCCTGCTCAGAAGCGCAAGGCTAAGAAGGACAAGAAAAAGCAACGCCAATCAATCCTTGCTCAAGAATCCGAACCTGGGCCCCAGGCTGAAGAACAGACAGCACCTGAGGCGGCTGGAACTTCTCTCCAAGAAGCTGAGATTGCAACGGAGTGGGTACCTGCCGAAGTTATCACGCAAGATGAGGCTTCTACTAGCCCAGATAAGCCTACAGTGCAGCCTATTGATGTCACCGAGGAGGCCACCAAGAATCTTGTAACGCCTTCTCAACATACCGAACAGCATGTTCCAAACCAAGAAATCGAAGGTGGAGATAGCTCTTTCGATCTCTCTTCCACCGAGCCGAAGGTCGAGGAGGGAGACAAGTCGCCCGAGGAAGCTTCTGGAACCCCGGCGGACGAGCAACCTAGCGAACAAGCGCCGCCTGAACCTGCCCCTGAGCCCGACGGGGAATCGGCAACTATCGCTAAGAATAACAGCAAAAAAGAGAAGAAGAAGGCCACGGCCGCTGCTACTACTGCTGCCACCGCCGCCACCCCTTTCGAGAAAGAATACCCACAATATCCTGAGGAGCCCTCGACGATCACGCCTGAAGCTCTAGAGTTGGTGGCAGAGCAACCTATCGTCCAAGGGCAGCAGCAGCCTTCAGAGACTGAGGACAAGCCTCGGTCTGATGCAGAAAAGAGCCTAGACGAAACAACAGAATTCACAACTTCTGAGCCGAAAGAAGATGTTTCGGAGCAGCCTGTTGAGGCTCTCGATTCTGTTAAACCTCTCGAATCCGAGGTAAGGCCGGAGCAGTCTACAAAAGAGCTAGCCCAAGAATCAGCGGCCATCAATACTATTACTAGGAAAATGTCAAAGAAGGACAAGAAAAATGCCAAGAAGAAAGCCAAACAAGAAGTAATTGAGCCGGCTGTTTCTCCTACCAAGGATCATGTTCCTACCGCCGCGACTGCAACTGCAGAAGCTGCTCCTGAACCAGAGGTGACTTTTGAGGAGACCTCAGCGGAGGTTGTTCCTGCCATCGAGTCTGCAACTACCGAGGCTGATATTGAACCGGAGGCGACACTTGAAAAAAACCCAACTGTTTCTGAGCCTGAGTCCATTTCCCCGGAAGAAACCCAGGTGGCTCCGAATCACGAGCCTGAAAACACCGAAACGCCGGCTCTTAGGGACTTTAGCATCGTATCAGATAACAAGCAACTTTCAGAAAGCAAGAAAGATGAACTTGTCTCACCCATGGAACCCACTGACCCAGATACCAACAATGAGCCCCTTCATCTCGAGGATCCTGCTGAGAAGAACGACCAAGATTATGAAGCACACGTTGGGACTGATGCAGACCTTGAGAAAAGAGCTGATCTCAAAGTCGTCGAGGATCAGCCTGGAGAATATGAAGTGATGCCGCCTCTGTCCAAGAAGGTGTCAAAGAAGGATAAGCGGAAGGCCAAGAAGATCGCCGGCATCACCGAAGAAGTCTCGACTCAACAACGGGAAGAGCCTCAGGCCGATGTGGCTGAGTTACCCACGGAATCTGAGATACAGCCGACAGAGCCTGTTGTGGAACCGGAGATTCCCAAGGAACTGGAACATGCTGCAGAACCTCACCCTGCATTGGAGCGAGGGCCGTCAACTGAGGCTCCCCTACTAATTGAGGATCAGCCTGTATCCGGGTCTGAAGTTCAGGTTGAGCCTATGCAACCCGATGAAGAGGCCGTCGTTAGCGAGGAACTTCCTCTGTCACGTAAGGCCTTGAAGAAAAAGGCAAAGAAGGCCCAAAAGTCCAAAAAGTCCCTGGACACTGAGCCACCGGCTAAAATTCCGATTGAAGCAGATCAGCATGCCACCATTGTGCCGTTTGAAGATAAGAACCAGGACACAGAAGCGCCTGGTGAAAAGTCGGCTAATGACGAAGACTGGCCGTCGATTGACTGGCAAGCCAAATTTGAAGAGTCCCAGCGATCAAGGGAAGAGGAGCCTGAACCTGAGCCGGACATTCGACCTCCAGGGGCTGAGATTATAGGAGAATATGTTGATCCTTCATTCCCCGAAGTTTCGCGAGATGCAAACGAAGCTGCGGAAGAAGATAATTGGGCTTTGCCAGCGAGCAAAAAAGACAAGCTGCAGTCACACCAAGCCGCTTCGGAAGCCCAGGAGGCTTCACTGGGTCCCTTTAACGACAAAGAGATTGAGCCACCTACTCGAACAACTACTCCAGGTGGATCTAAGATTGCCAACTTATTTCCCGACCTCGAGCGTGCGGGATTCCGACGATCAGCTTTGGACCAGCAAACACCGTCGCTAAAAGATAGTGCTGAGGAAGAGACAAGAGCGGACTTGGAAGCGAATCGCGATATCGCGACCCCTGTCTCTGAAGCACCCCTAGCGACCACTGAAACCAAAAGAATTGGCGATGATTTCACCTCTGACCTGCCTAGCAGTCTCGAAAGACAAATTGAGTCTACAATCTCGGACTTGAAAGCTCAATCCGAAAGTCCTGCTGCCACGGAGGATGAATCAATCAGGGAGCCCGAACTTCCGACGCATGGCGAAAATTCCTTAGATGCGCCATTGCCATTGTCAATGGAACCCTCCAGTGACCGGAATCGTACCGAGGAACCTTCTTCTCCTACGCGCCTTCCGCCCCAGGCGGAAGCCGGAGAGGAACTGTGTGAGCCACGCCGATCACCATCAATCCATGGACGGCACCAGCATACACCCAAAACATGGAGTTTGGAAGAACCGCCTCTACAAGCTCTCCATCCCATTTCCCCTCCTCGGTCGCTCTTCGGAGGACCGACTGACGATTATGTGCGACCCCGGACTCCGCTTGATACAATCGCGGAACAAGAACCACGAGATGGCCAGGGAGCGCCCATGGCTCATCGCGGGACGCCCCGCCTGGAGATGAAGCCCGAGCATGTCTTACCTCGACCTCAGACACCCGTCCGGAAGTTTACAGACAATGCCTTTGATCGAGAGGCTTGGCCTACAGAAAACCAAAAGGGCGGGGGTTCAAAACCCGAAATTCCAAAAACGCCTGAGCAAGGGATATCAATTCTGAAACCCAGCACCAGCAGCGGTAAATTACGTCGTACAAATCGCAGTGTTAGTGGCGATCTGCGGGCGGCTAGTCGAGCGCTAGATTCCCAGCCTTCGAATCTCGATCTCGATCAGGTCCCGTCTTCCTCCTCTTACGACCCCGTCACCGACAAGGGCAAACGTCCCCTGCGAAGTATGTCGGATGTCTATGTAAGTTATTAATTTATCCCTTATTTTCATTTGCGATTGCGATTGAGATTGCAATTGCGTTGTCTTGTCTTGTCTTTGTTTACTAACTTCTCCAGGAGGGATGGGGTGAGACGCCCAACTCCCCACGGTCGCCCAGCCGACCGCCTAGTGTCCGTCGCCGTCGCAGCATGCAACATTTGCAAGACATTGAAACCCGCCTCGACCAGCTCATCTCTGAAAACCGTCTACTGATCGCTGCTCGCGATGAAGCTGAAGATAAGCTTCGGAATACCAGCGTCGCTCGTCGAAAGAGCGACCGTGCCCTTAACACCCGCGACGGCGATCTGCGCGATCGGGAATCGGAGGTGGAACAATTGAAGAACTCGGTGGAATGGCTGCAGAAGGAGATGACTCGTCTGACCCAAGAGAACGAGGGACTGACGGCATCCAACTCTGCTCTCGCCGCCGCCCACGCAGCCGAGGTCAACACCCTACGCGAGTCGTCCATGCGCGACCTTGCCGACTTACAGTTGCGACACACTCAACTCTCGTCCCAGATGGAGGATCGAGTTCGACAAGAGATTGAGTCGGCTCTTGCACAAAAAGATGTTGAATTGCGCCGTCTGCGCACCGAACTTGAGGTGGCCCGCGATAAGGTGAAGGAGCTCCAACAACAAATCGCAGCCTCGGTACATGACAATGCCCTTGTCTTCCGGGATGAAGAGTACTTCGATGCTGCCTGCCAGAAGCTGTGTGGCCATGTCCAATCTTGGGTCGTGCGCTTCTCTAAGCACAATGATAAGCGTCGCTGCCGCCTACTTAGTGAGTTGCAGGACGAAAAGATCGCAGACCGTTTTGACAATGCCCTCCTCGACGGCTTCGATCCCGATGCCTACCTATCTGATCGTGTCCGCCGCCGTGATGTCTTTATGTCGGTGGTCATGACGATGGTTTGGGAATACATCTTCACCCGCTACCTTTTCGGCATGGACCGGGAGCAACGTCAAAAGCTCAAGTCTCTTGAGAAACAATTGGGCGAGGTTGGTCCAACTCGTGCTGTGCATCGCTGGCGAGCTACCACTCTCACACTGCTGTCCCGGCGACCGGCCTTTGCTGCGCAACGTGAGAGTGATACGGAGGCTGTTACTCTGGAAATCTTCCAAACCCTATCGCAGGTCCTCCCTCCGCCGTCTCATGTTGAATCCCAGCTCCTGGATAACCTCCGCAAGATCATGCGGGTAGCAGTCAACCTTTCCTTGGAAATGCGTACCCAGCTGGCTGAATTCATTATGCTACCGCCTCTGCAGCCTGAATATGATACAAATGGCGATCTTGCACGCCAAGTGTACTTCAACGCAGCCCTGATGAACGAGCGCAGCGGTCTGACGAACGACAACAGCGAGCTCGAAGCCCAACAGTCCATTGTGCGCATCGTGCTCTTCCCTCTCGTTGTCAAAAAGGGCAATGATGTAGGCGAGGGTGATGACGAAGTCGTCGTCTGCCCTGCCCAGGTCCTCATTGCCCGCCCTAGCAAAGACAAGAAAGTATCAAAGATGATGAGCGGTGACCGCATGTCCATCGATGCTTCCAAGTCGGTCCACAGCATTGTTCAAAGTGTTACTCACAGTGTGGCACCGTCATCTATGATGGACATGAGCAATGTGATCTGAGGCGTCACACTCCGATCATGATTGCTCCCATCTTAACATGCGTGCTTGCTGCATCCTTGCTCTTATTGTCTAATGATTTTTCTTTTCTTCTCTCGTCAATTGGTGATATGGCGTCCAGGTCATCTAACGTAACGGTCATTCCAAGGCCAATGACCGTGAATATGTGGAGTCTTTTATGTTCATTTTCATTTTCATTTTCCTGTTTTCTATTTGATTTTCTCATTTGTTCTTTCGAAGACAACGTGCCAGCCCGATGTGTATTATCATGGCTTTGATGTCTTATGAGTGATGACCTGTACTTCTGGTATGGCAGTGTAATAATCTATTTCTACTTTATTCTTTATTCTTTATTCTTTATTCTTATTCTTTATTCTTTATTCTTTCCACTTATCTGTCTTTTACAGTTTATTTCTTGGCCCTCGGCTAGAATTGTAAGACTTCTCTTTTTATAAGAATCAAATTGGTTTATCCCTCAAGAGCTTCTCGGGTACAGCTCCGGATATTACACCAGCTACCTCTTCAAGGTAATCTGTTTGAACTCAGCAGTGGTGTCCCTGATGGCTACTTCAACAGGAAGTCGCTCCATTGAACTGGCCCCATAGAAGCCATGCAAACCCTGCACCCTGTCTAATACGAATTTCGCATCTCCTGGAGCAGCAATAGGCCCACCGTGACACAGCACAATGATATCTTTATTGATCCTCACCGCTGCATCCCGCATTGCCTGGATCTCCACAACACATTGTTCCAACGTCTTTCCAGTCTTCGCCCCAATCAGGCCAGAAGTAGTCAGACCCATATGTGCCACCAGGATATCCGCCCCGGCCTTCGTCATAGCCTCGGCATCCTCGACGTTGAAAGCATATGGCGTCGTCAGAATATCCAACTCAGCTGCCTGCCGCACCATCTCCACCTCTTTACAATACCCCATCCCGGTCTCCTCCAAGTTGGCCCGGAAGTTGCCATCGACTAGTCCCACCGTGGGGAAATTCTGCACCCCGGCAAATCCCAATTCCCGCAGTTGCTTCAGAAACCGCGGGATATCCTTGAATGGGTCTGTACCGCAAACGCCCGCAATCACGGGAATATTCTGAACGATAGGGATGACTTCGGCGGCCATTTCAACCACTACCTCGTTGGCGTTGCTGTACGGCATTAGTCCTGCGAGACTTCCGCACCCCGCCATGCGGAAGCGACCGCTATTGTATATGATGACTAGGTCTGCGCCTCCGGCCTCGACCGATTTTGCGGAAAGACCGATGCCTTATGGTGGATTATCAGTCAAACTGATAGACAGAGGCAACCGAAAGGAACAGGTGACGTCAAGTACATACCGGCTCCGGCTCCAACAATGGGTTTCCCGTCTTCAATTTGACGGCGTAGATGGGCGAGGATTTCGCTACGGGAGGTAGGTGGCGCCATAGTAAGAAAATGGAGGTTTGTAGTTTGATCAATTGTTCATACAGATCAAAATGGGAGGGATCTTCCCAATTATATGATTCATCGCGGGGCGGACTTAATGGAGCGCGGATGCGGACGGCGGAGAGAAATACACAAAGCGCGGAGACCGCGGACATAAACGTAGGGATCACTCTCATTACTGACAGCAAATCATTGAGAAATGGATTCTCAAACGCCCCAGATTAAGGCTAAGGAGTCCGTCAATACATTAAATAATAGAGGATGAATAAGCTATCATCCTACAAACCCATGTATATAGGAGACGAGGACTAATTTACTTGGACTGCCAGTCAACAAATAAGAAGTCCATCATATGATGTCATATATTAATTTTATGCAATTGCTAATTCAATAGATACCAATCGGCAAGGATCAAGATATACTTCCCATCGCATTCATAATCAGATCCCACTGATCCCAATCCATGTCCATTGGATTAATCCATTGCTGTGGCTCGATTTGACGAACCAGACCGGGAAAGCCGACATTCTCCAAGGTGAATGCGTGGCCATTACTAAGGTCCGCGGGCTGGCTGATGGGATTCATCTGTCTATTTGACTTGGGGCCCTGTGAAACTGAATTCGGCAATCCATCCGGTACCAGGGCCGAGGTAGTCATCCACCTGCTAGATCTAGAGAGTTGTCCGTCAGTTCTCATTAAGACGTATGTCACGCGCGCTAGGCAACTTACAGTATCTGGCCGAGAATCGTTGCTGTCCGGGTGCACAGCTGACTTTGCGCCTTTGACGCCTCGAGTCGAGCATGGCATTCGTGAAGCAGTCGCACCTCGTTCAATGTACATGGTTTTTGGGGCTCTATAGAAAGGGCAAGCACCAAGACGAACGCGGCGTGGAAAGCGTGGAAAGCGCCTCGGCCACGGATGTACCAGTAGAAGGGCATGAACTGGGGCAGTCCGTGGAAGTCTGCATGTAGTTCTAAGACGCGCTGTGCACTTTTCATGCAGCGATGCTTCGACCAGCTATGTTGTGGTAGACAAAAGGTTTCTTCATTCAGTATATTACTGTGGAGAATAAGAACTAGGTGATGGGAAAAACTGAGCAGCAGATTGGTATGAACAACCGATGAGCTGTCCCCAAGCATCGAGGCGTAACTCTGCTCTAGTGGGTCTAAATCGGCTTGGATGGCCGCGTCCAGGCGTTGGAGGGTTGTCGGATCGTCCGGCCGTGCAGCCAGAACAGGATTACAGATCTCGGAGGATATCTGAAAAAGGCGCGATTTTCGAACCAGATATGAGACAGGTTTGATGCCTACTGAGGTTGCAATGGGTGCTGGTTGTCCCTGTACGATGTCCTCATCCCACACCTCGGCTGGGGGCAGAACACGCGACGAGAACACTGACTGGTATATATCAAGTCCTGTGATGGCCATATTTTGGTTACAGAGCAGCATGGTCAGGCCTAGCCAACAGCGGCGACGCTCTTCGATTTCGACAATATCCAGGGAAAACGTGGCCGGGTCAACGTGACAACCGATCGACAGCGCCAGATGGTGAACCAAACCCAGAAGAGTCCATGTTTGGCCATGACTATGGTGGATCCCATATATAAGGTTCAGTAGAGCCTGTAGTGTTGAGATGTTGTGTCGCCAGAGATAGCGATCTGCTTCGAGGCATTTCATCGCCGCGGTGTAATACCGCTCTGAGAGTTCCGTGACTCGATCCCAAGGGGTATGTTTGCGGCTGAGAGTCTTAAGAAGGAGGCTGTCATTTTCCAGTGCGAGAACAGCCGTGCCTAAGATAGTAAATAGGAGAGCAAGCCATGCTAGGGAGGCGTGATCTGGATCCTTGGAAAACTGATGATACCGTTCGTGAAACGTAGGGCTATGTAAGATAGGAAAGAGCTTTTCTCTGTTAATTTTCAGTTAACCTGATAATAGCGGGAGCTAGAAAACCTACAGGTGCAATCGAATGGAAATAGAGATCCTTTAACTGGTTGCAATACTCCGTCGGTGGGAGCTTTGCTAAGAGATTAGGTCTGTTTTCAGCATCATGTTCACCAAAAGGATATGGACCGCTGGGCGTGTCAATCATGGCGCTCTCCTGGCTTAGAAATGGGCTCTCTTGAGTTGCTCGACTGAAAATTCGCCGGCCGGAGGTAACGGGGAGGAATCGGACGTGTCCTGAAGTGGATGGGATGAGGGTGCCCGTTGTAAACGTTGTCACTGGTCCTAATCTCCGGGTCTCTTGTACCTCTGAATCCAATTGAGGAAAATTGAGCGGAGGTGGTGTTGTTTCTGGCTGCTGGTTCTTTGCATGCAACAGCTGCTCTAGCTTTTCTATCCGAGCTACCAGATCCGCATCTGGTTCTCCGGCGAGACCTTGATAACGTGGTTGGAGAGGGGTCTCAGAGGACGATGAGCGATTTTCCAGTGGGCGAGCTTGTGGCTGAGACTGCTGCGGCTGGCGTTGTGAGGATTTTCTCCTGGTACTATAGACACATTGCTCTAGAGGGACACGGCGTCGTATACAAGTGCCGCAAGCGGGGCCATTTCGGGGACATCGGATCTTGCGAACACGGCACGGCTCACAAGAAATCGGAAGACGCTGGCGTGGATGGTGCGCGGACATAGTCATACGCACTAATATATAGCCAAGGATATATAATATGCTTGCGGCTTGGCTGGACGAGGTCGCAGTCGAGGACGGAGATATACGGAGAAGGCGGGATTGAGTTCCACTTTGTTTTCTCCGCGCTTTGCCACCAAATGATTCTAACGTGAGGACCTAAACACGCATCTGTCACAGTTAAGTTAAATCCTAGACATAGTCAGGTCATTCAATAAATTTCCTATAATCTTCCACCAGCTCATTCACCATGCCACATATCATCCTTCTGGGGACCCTTGACACCAAGCGTGCAGAAATTCTATATCTCTACAACCAGCTACAGCATATTGCCACCCGCTTCTCGACGCCCCTAGAGATTACCTTGATTGACTGTGGCCGTCAAGCCATTACCGACGATGCCATCACCATAAGTCACACCGACCTGATATCCAAGTATGCATCCGGCGACAGCACGGATCTATTGACCCAGCCCCGGGGACAAGTGATTGAACTCCTCATCAGCTGCGTCAGTAAGTGTGTCACCGAATTACTGCGAACTACAGAGGTTCACGGAATCATTGGTGCTGGGGGTAGTGGAGGAACCAGTCTGATCACCGCCGTAATGAGGAACGCTGCACCTCTTGGCCTCCCTAAACTAGTCGTCAGCACAGTCGCGTCCGGGGATACAGGACCGATGGTAGGCGAATGCGATATCACATTGATGTACTCGATCGTGGACATCGCGGGCACAAATCGGCTCCTCCGCGAAGTGCTGGGGAATGCAGCTGGCGCCATTTTTGGCATGGCATCCACATATCAACATAGGCTGGATGAACGCCGGACCCGAAGTGTGCAGGATAAACAGCGAGAAGAGAAGAAAATTCGAGTCGGTATTACCATGTTCGGGGTGACCACCCCGTGTGTGGATCGTGTGAGACGTCACTTGGAAGAGAACTATTCTGTAGAGGTCTACGTTTTTCATGCGACTGGCCATGGGGGAAAGGCTATGGAACGATTGGTGGAGGACGGCTGTCTAGACGCCATCTTGGACATCACAACGACGGAGATCTGCGACCTCATTGCCGGTGGGACTATGAGCTGCGAAACCAGCCGCCTAGAGATGACACTGAAGCGCGGAATACCCAATATCATTTCCATTGGAGCCACGGATATGGTCAATTTTGGTCCAGTCGACACTGTGCCACGCCAATACCGTGATCGCAAGTTGCTAGTCCATAATCCGAGTGTGACCCTGATGCGAACCTCTGCAGCCGAATGTCGAGAAGTCGGGGATTTCCTTCTCGACAAACTAAACCGGTTTGCCCAGAACCAAAGTATGGTTGAGGTGTGGCTTCCTAGGGGAGGAGTGAGTATCATTGGGACGGTAGGGTCGGAATTTGCCGATGCCGACGCTGATGCCGCCCTTGCCGACACTCTACGCTCCGGGCTAAAGGGCAGCAAAATCCGAGTGGTATCGGATGAGCGAGATATAAATGACGATGGATTTGCACTAGACATTGCGGATCGGCTTATGGCTCTCGTGGCGAAGCATTCTTGCAGTGTCATAGCGAGCTAGACAAGTCTGTCGTTAGTTATCAGACAAGCAGTGTATGCAGTGGCTAGGAATTTGAATTTATCTATCGATTGCTAGCTCGACACCGACATGATCTGTCCAACTTTCACCTGCGAAAGCCTAGGCTGCTGTCAAAATCTTGTATCAGACCTGTTATTCAGCTGATTCAAGAATAGGTGAAGTATGAAGAACCTCAACCTTCTGCTTGTTCCTTTGCCTTTACATTTGCTCTCATTTTATACTAAGTTGTACGGAGTAGTTAACTACAGGTGATTGAATTTTATAGTTGTGCTGACCTCATCCACCCTGTTTTAGGAAAAGCCTCCTGGGCTGTCCCATGGAATTCAAACAGCCAGAGTCTCATCTGCAGCCTTGGAGGGACCTCGGGATTTCTCTTTGTATTGAATTCTTTCTTTTTTCTTGTTGTACACTTTAGAAAAAACTGGACTCGTTCCCACTTCCTATTTAAATCCGAATTCAAGACTTTCTTGTCTTTGTTTCTTCCAGGAATGTTCCACTCTGGCTTTGCCACCCGCGTCATCCCCCAAACCTGAGCTGCAGCGCTGTCGACTATGCCGATGTCGATTTCCCCATGATCATCCGCGCTAGTAAGATCGTATGGAAAGCTGGGTATCGCTATCCTACATGCTGCGAGTCTTAACACTGTTTGCGTTGGCCTAGCTCCATTGGTTGATGGGTGGGCTGCTGAAAAATTAACCTCCGCTTCAGTGCAGTTGCTCTGTACCGGAGATATCCAACATCAATCGCAACCCAATTATTGGCGCTGTCACAATGGCTCCGCCCATGATCCCAACACCTGGCATAGCGGCCTCCCGACCGCCTCGTTCCTCGCATTCGTCTAGCCGTCCACAGCACAGCGATTATCCACCCGACGCTGATAACAACGCTAGCTATGGCCCAATGGGCGGCGGTCGGGCTCCAGGGACTAGTAGTCCGGTACCCGTCTCGGAGACCACGCCAGCCAACAAGACCCGCTTCATCCCCCCCGCTGATTATGCTGCTGGCAAACCCTCCAAGTCCTCCAAACGCAAAAAGAACCGCAATCGCAAACGTCGCAATCGACACCAGTCTTTTATTCCACCTAGCCGGGAGGAATCTCATGATATTCCTGGGGAGACTTCGGATGCTGGAGGTGTTAGAGATTCAATGGAGGCCGATCGGCCAACCTCGAGGGACAAGTCGTTCTTCAAATTGGGACGCAATCTGAGTAACACAAGCTTGGAGAGCGATGCGTTGTTAGACCATCGGTAAGATCTCGTGATATTGAGCGATCTCGGAGCTTGAGATAGATACTAATTTTTCTTGCCGAACAGGGACCAACCTTTGATGCGACCTCGTCGTGACAGTCGCGTTGCATCGTCATTCCGGCCGAGCTCCCTAACATCCAATGTCTTCCGATCGAACGATGGGCAATCTCGCAGCACCCCGAGGGGAGGACGGGGCCAACAACATCACAGTGGTGATAGTGACGAAGAGGATGCCAATGATCGGACCCCATTGATGCGGCCAGTTTCCAGTCACACGCCCGGCAATAATTGGTATGGAACGGACAATCGCCCGAATTTGTTCTCCTCACGTGCTCGACAGTACTCTACTCGAACTATGTCCTCCGGATGTTCACCAAAGGATGATCGCAGCCCACTCTATTCTCCCACTGTGGAGCGAGACTACGATGTCAACAACCCGCCGTCCATTCCCGGGTCCCCAAAGCTGGGCCCGGAGATGAATTATGACGATGCCGTGGTAACAGGAGCTGATTGGGACTTCTCGTTAGCTCGGACAATGGAGAATCACAGGGAGTCTATGAACGCCTTGAACGACACGCTGATCGACATAGACGGGAATGGATTGCACTCACATTCTGCACCATCCTCTTCGCCTGGGTCGCCGCTTCTCTCTCCCCACCAAGAATTACGGCGGCGCCGGACCGTGACATTACCAGCACAGGAAGATGTATGCTTCCCCACCGAAACGATATCCGAATTGGGAGACGAGGGAGCGAGACAAATTCCTGATGAAGCCGGCGAACGTCGACGGCGTAGACACCGGCGATGGCCCGATCTCTCCGCCCTGGAAGAATGGAGCCGTGAGGAAAAAGAGGAGCGCAATGGAGACAATCGAGTCAAAAGGATCAGTGAGCCTATGCTCATCGCAGGCCGATTGCGCCCTCAGTATACAGGATGGCGACGTGAAGAGGATGAGGCGCCTTATCGGTTCACATATTTCAACGAGGAATTTCCGAGCACCATTCATGCTCAAACCATCTCCGAGCTGGTACAGCCAGGTGGTAGCTTCCGCGATTTGTTTATTCCAGATCCTCCCGAATTGGAAGATTCGTCTGAAGACGAGGACTCGGAAGAGGAATCTTTTATGGAGCATGCAGCTCTCAATCACTCAACCAATCCCGCCAACAAGCCAATATATCACACAGACAATCAAAGTCAAGGGCAAGGCCATCAAACGAGCGTTAATCCTTGTATGACACCTCAGACCGTTGTTCCCAACGGAAGAACTGCAAATGACCCTATGACTGGCAATGCTCCTCCGGTCAGAGGACCCTCGCGTTTATCTGTCATCAGCGAAGGACACCCAGACTCCCACCGTGAGCTCTCGCCCGCACCTTCCAACACCCCTTTTAGCAAAACCCCCAATCCGAAACCTAAACGCTACGGTCCACGGCCGACTTTCTGGCTAGATGTCCTCTCCCCGACAGATGCAGAGATGCGTACGATTGCCAAAGCTTTTGGGATTCACGCATTGACGACAGAGGACATTATGATGCAAGAAGCTCGAGAGAAAGTCGAGTTATTTCGCAGCTACTATTTCGTCAACTACCGTACTTTTGAGCAGGATACCAACAGCGAGGACTATCTCGAGCCAGTGAACATGTATGTGGTAGTTTTCCGCGAAGGCGTGATCTCCTTCCATTTTTCGCAAACACCTCACCCAGCCAATGTTCGGCGTCGTATCCGCCAACTGATGGATTACCTGATCCTCAGCTCAGACTGGATTTCATACGCACTGATTGATGACATTACCGATGTCTTCGGTCCGCTGATTCAAGCGATTGAAAATGAGGTCGATGAGATCGACGAGATGATCATGAAAATGCACTCTGCCAACAAGGAGGTGTCGTCCAATGACAGTGTGCTTCCTTCATTCGCACCAGGAGATATGCTGCGGCGAGTGGGAGAATGCCGCAAGAAGGTCATGGGGCTGTACCGACTTCTCAGCAACAAGGCCGATGTAGTCAAGGGCTTTTCCAAGCGTTGCAATGAGCAGTGGGAGGTTGCCCCCAAGTCGGAGATTGGCCTGTACCTCGGTGACATTCAGGATCACATCATGACGATGACTGGTAACCTAACGCACTACGAAACGTAAGTTTCTTACCTATATTTAAGGCTGGTCTTCCCAAACGTTGGAGAAGTCGCTGACTGTGTCGTCCAGAATCCTTTCCCGCGCACACTCCAATTATTTGGCGCAGATCAACATCCTCATGAACGAGCGTCAGGAACATACTGCCGATGTCCTGGGTAAGCTGACTGTTCTTGGTACGATTGTCCTACCGATGAACATCATCTGCGGCATGTGGGGGATGAACGTGAAGGTACCGGGTCAGGAAATCGATAGCCTTACATGGTTCTGGTGCAGTATGTATTTCCTTTTCTTTGCCAGATGATTTGCTAATACTTCATAGTTACCGCCGGACTATGCGTATTTGCATTTGTATCTGTTTGGACTGCTAAAAGAGTCTACAAAATTGTATAGACATATGATGTGTCCCCATGTTAGTTTCTACATCTCAGTCGATTGGATCGATACCCTATATTTTGGTTTGGTTATTTGCTTGTTGATTTTGGGGACCGGGGGGGTTCCTTCTTGGTCTCGGGCTCGGGCTCTGAGTAATCGGCTTGTCGGTTCTTGGATTTGATATACGATGCATGTGTTGCTCTTTGCTGCATTTGGGAGGTTCTCAGATATATATAGGATGGACATAACTGTATATTACTTGGAATTGTTCCCTCGGACGACTCTAGTAATCTATATCGACAATAGGTTATCCCGTTTTGGTAGCGTTTAGGATTCATTGTCTTTTTGGTAGGAACAAAGATAATAAGGAACCCCTCGAAGCGACCCTAAATATAGACAACCTGAATAACACTCAACTGTTCGACTCCAAAGAAACAAAAACAGTTTTATCTTCACTGTTGTAGTGAAGATTGTACACCCAAAGGGCGAGGCTGTAGCGTGATCAAGCCATTGTATTTCCCTTACATGAGTCATTAATTATTCCCTGCACGCTGCACGTTTTATTTCCATTAATTACCATTAATTACCATTTATTACAATTCCCGGCGTCACCCACTGGTCATCAACCTCGAGAATACAAAACCCCAGTGACGTTTCTGTTCGATTCATCCTCGTTCCCTATTTCACCTTTCAATCCTCCCTCTCTTCTCTGCTTTTCAATCACATTCACTCTCTTTCCCGAGATTCTTCTACTGGATTCTAGACTATCCGTGTGCTTCCCTGCAGTGACCCCTCCCTTCTTGACGTGGACCACGATCATTGGCCTTTGCCACAAACCTGACCCTCTCTGTCAGCCACTTTTCACCGAGGTTTTGGTCACCGACTTCTCCTGCACATTTGGCAGCCCAGCCGCCACGCCAGAACGCGTAAAACCAGTCAAGCCAAAACGTTGAGCCGGATCGGCGGGTCACTTTTCGCCCTAAATCCGCCAACCAGATCTTGTCATCTTCAATTCCTTCGTTCTAGGCCTTCCTTTTACCCTTCCCGGCAACAAAGCAAAACAGCACAAGTGATGTGTGTGCTCTTTGCGCTACCCTGACCGGCCCACTTGCTATTCTAAACAATATCCATCACCCCTGCACCTGCTGCAGCCATTTTTTTCGCTTGTGCGTTTCTGTACAGAACCCAATTTCTGGCAACAGCATGTGGTCATCGGCTATTCGTTCTGCTGGACCCTCACATGTGTAACGACCCATATTCTGTGCAACATCTTATTCAATCCTCGTGATATCTCATTCGCCCTTACCAGCAACAACTCAACTTCTTCGCCGTCGAGCTTTCCCTGCCTGCGTGCCGTGCCTTGCTTTTTCTGCTTACCCGAGCCCTGTCTCTGCCCAACTGTCTGGCTACCTCTCGGGTCTCCTGACTTGTCTACGTTGTGTCGGCCCATTCTGACACGACAAGGACTATGGCTGCGGAGTCCGAGAGGCCGCCTCACCTTAGCGGCACCTCTGGTCTATCCAGAGGCCCGAAGGATGCAGAGCCGGCGTCAGACCCTGTGCATCGATCGGCCAGTGAAGGTGGCATGATGGAACGGTCCATCGTCACATCCCAGGCTCAACCCATGTCTCAGGTGCCCAAGCTTCTTTCCAATCCTACCCCTTTCGCTCCCACGTCTACCACCAACTCCGCTGCTTCCTCCCGCGAACCCTCCCCGGTCCGACGCTCCTCACGTACCTACAATCCTTCCTCGCCCAGCCGGGTATCTTTACACTCGCGAAAGACCAGTCAAGACCAGTCAAGTCCGACCCGACACTCTAACGCTTTAACATCTGGCCCACCTACAAACTCATCAACCCCGAATATTCAACGTTCATCCTCTTCTCCTGTCAGATCCCTTGTTCTCTCGGCTCCTACCGACTCGCCAGCCAATGTTCCTGGTCCGGATAAGTCCAATATGCCATCATGGGCCGCGAACCGTCGCACAGATCTGGATTCGACCCTTCCGAATACTTCGCACAAACGATCTTCATTGCCATTGGAGGATTTCACACCCAAGCAGGACCGAAACACAACCCGGACTGTGGCTAGAGGCGTCAGTGGGCAAGGGTCCTCACTAGAAACCGTCGAGGAGATGGCAAGCAATCCCTCTACCCCATCCAGTGAGACTTCTATCAAGCCTGTAATCGCGGAGGAGTCACGATTGCACCGGATCGATGAAGACCCAACTCCACCTGCTCCGCATCAAACTTTGGGCAGTGGCAGTGACAGTGGTGAGAATCGAAGTTCGGAATCAAAGGAGGAGGCTCGTCCACAGGCGTCTGGTGCGGCCAAAACACCCAAAACTCTCATGTCACAGCGATCAACAACATCACTCAGTGCTGGTGCTCGCGGAAAGCCTGCCGACGGCTCAGTTCGCAACATGATTGTGGAAACAGAGACCGTTAGTTCGATACCGCAGGTCTCAATGGGAGTGGGAAATGGTGAGCGAGGCAATGCCTCGCGTGCAGACCAGGGTACACTTCGCATGAAACCTTCCAATGAGACGATTCGTCCGCGCAAAGAAAAGAAAAAGATTCGTCGACCCAATACCCTCCTTACGACTGGCCCCGTAACAAGCAAAGCAGACATTTTCGAGGCTCGAGTGGCCAATGCAGTGGATGAGGCTGATGTTTCGGACTCCGACGAGACCTTCGTTTACGACTCAAACCCGCCTGATCCGTACCCTTCGCGACCACCCCGGTATCACTCTCGAACTCCTAGTGCGACCTCTATGGCGAGTCAAGCGGACCAGTTGGGTAGTCGTACCCGAGGGTTGCGGGATGCTTCTCACGGCGTGACAGGCAAACGCAGCATGAAGTTTACCAACGCCAATCCCTACAACAACAGCAGCATAGATGGCGATGGGGTCGAAGCCGATATGGCTTCGCGCTCTTCTAGAACGGATGGGAGTGGAACCATCACTCCCCGGCATCACAATTTGGGTCGCCTTCATGGACGCAACGGCGTGCATCCAAATCTTTTCGATAACGACAGTACACACTCGCACGGTCAATCTCAAAAGTCTCCACGCCATTTCATCGGGAATAGCTATAGGCATTCGCGTCACAGCAATACCCGGCTGTCTCCCAACCACAGAACTATCAGCGGTGCCAAGAACAGCAGCGAGTTTCATGGGTATGACTACGAGGCAGAGGGTGCGGATGACGAACGCACACCGTTGGTAGGTACACCGCGTACACTCCATAGTCGGAGTGGTCGACGGCCCAACAGTGCAAGCCTGCGACAGATGGAGTACATGGCGCACCGGGAACGCGGACTTTTCGCTCGATTCGGCTCCTGCGCTATTATCTTCCTTATGTTGTTGATTGTCGCTGGAGGAGCTACATCATTCATCATTGCGGCAACCCAACCCCTTCTAGATGTCCAGGTCATTGCGATTCAAAACGTGCTGGCTTCGGAACAGGAAATCATGTTAGATTTGAACGTGCAAGCTGTCAATCCGAACTTGTTCCCTGTGACCATTGACGACACCGATGTCAACATATTCGCAAAAAGTCGATATGTTGGAACCGACAAGTTTTGGCGTGAGCATGATGATCTGGATAATGTCCCACGCGTGGAGCAAAGCCGACGTCGCTGGCAGCTGTCACAAGCTGTGAAGTGCCTGGGCAATATGGACTGTATCAAGAAAGCCATGCCTAGCTTCTCTGGCCCGCACGTCACCGGCGGAGTGGACAAGGGCACCGATCCCCCAACCGATCCAGAAGGCGATCCGCGATCTATGTTGCTTGGCCGCGTGTTCCACTTCGATTCCCCGCTATCTTTCGAATCATCTCCTTGGAATCATTTGACTTCCAGTTCCAAGGGACAGATACGTCTAGGCCGGCCAGGAAACAAAACCGAGGCTGGAGGTACAGAGCGCTGGGAGCGAATCCTCCAACACCCGTTTGAATTGACTGTACGCGGCATCATCAAATACCAGCTCCCACTCAGCTCCCGCTACCTCTCGGCATCTATCAGCTCCAGCATCAAGGTGGTGCCCGATACCGGTGACAACGATCCGGAGCAAATACCTCCAAACAACGGTACAGTGCAGATTTCTGTACCACAAAGAAGTGCACAATCCATTCGCCTTCCACTCGATACTCGTTCCACCGCATCGGAGGATTCGAGACGACCTTTCACGGCATAACAAATTTAGCGATAGATCGATATCATTGACTTACGACAGCCTATTTCGTGTTAATTATTTTTTTTTTTACTTCTTTTTATTCTTCATGTAACGCGACGAAAAGCAAAGAGCCTATTGCCTTTGGCGGCCCACTCTGTATACATTATACAGATACGCAGTATGGCCTCTATCTTCCCTTCAGACTTCATCCCGCAGTATACCCCGTTTGCAATTTCCGTCTTTTTGTGCTCGCAAGCCTTGGACAACTTCTATCATGGATCAACTCTGTCTAGGTCTCGTCTTCCCTTTCTATCTTATCTTTTATCTTCGAAAAAAAAAAAAAGCTATTTCGGAAATGGCTCTCTTGTGTTGGTCACTTCCTTCGTTGGAATGGATGCATGCCCTTCCTCCATCCATTCCTTACATGGCAGCCGGCCTTACCCGGTATTACTGGAGGTTCTTTTCCATGTCTATTCTTCCTAGTGCGAAGCATGCTGTATCTGTACTATCTGTCTGGTTTCTGACTGATCTCAGAATTGGTCTTGTGTTATGTATCTCTTTGTACGGCGGGCGGGACTTTGAGAAAGACATTTTTCGCTATTAGCTCAGTCTTCGAATATGAGACGGGTTGGGGCTTTATTAATTTCGTTTCATATTATTACAGGGTTCCGCATCTGTATTTCTTTTTGTTCATGTCCCTTGTAAAAATGGATATGTATATCCTTTGATTTTGGATACATAACTATACTAATTGGTTAAAAGAACAGATATGTTCGGTGTATATAGTTCAACTTGTCTTCTGATTTGGCCCATGACATCCATGGATTCATTTGCACACGCTGTGCAAGATCTAGTTCTACCTAGTTTATGCAGCTCCCCTATAATTTTACTTCAAAGGATCCGTACCAAAAAGAATTTTCGAAGTATGACCTATATTATCTTATGAAAAAAAAGCAATAAGGAATGCTCTATCTGAACACATATACACATCATAAATCATTATCATCGGCGGCAGGCATCATTCATAACTTTGTGACCAACAAGATTGAGCATAAAACGTCAAGGATAAAAAACACCAAGGATAAAGAAGATAAAGAGCCAAAGAGATGTGGTTAATGTTAAAAATAAACTTAACCAAGGCAAAAAAAATCCACCTACTGCAGAAGAACTAGACATAAGGTCAAAGGAATAGACGGGGACAAAGTGGGATAAATGAAACATCACACAGCGACCCGCTAGAACAGAACCTTGGTAAACCTATTCACCAGGTCCTCAAATTTATCCACAGCGGGATCCCGCTCGGGAAGAGGACGGCCTTGCCCATCAAAGCGGCTGGGTAGGTCGATGGTTGAGTCGGAGTCTGCTTCAGGGGCTTTGTTCTGGTCTCTTCCCTCGTGGTGTTTCGGGGCTGATGGGTGATGTCGATGGTGACTGGAATCAGGATAGAAATTGTGACGGTCTGAGGCAGTAGGAGTAGGAGAGGGCATAGGTGGATAGGGCACGGATGAGGAGCGGCGATGATGATGACGGCTATCACGGTCACGGTCACGGTCACGATCACGATCTCGATCTCGATCGCGACGGTGGTCTCTACCTCCGCGATGCGAAGACGAACCCGATCCAACGGTAGAGTCACTGTCATCGGTCTCATAGCCAGGATCATGCGGAGGATCCGTCAAGTCGAACGCGACAGATTTCGGCGGTTGGCTAATTGACCGGGGGGCAGACGTTGGGAATGGGTGGATGTTCAGACCTATCGATTAAGGATCAGCTTTGATTACATTCTATACAGTCACAGTTGTGGTCCGCCGAACCCACCCTTGTGCGCGTGGTTTGTATCAATAGGTAGGGTTCTCACATTGTCTTCAGCCCTACGCGGCCGAGGTGTGTACTGCTCGGGTCCCGGTCCTGGTGGCGCAGCGCCGTAGGCGTAAGGCTGAGGTGGCGCAGCACCGGGTGGTGGAGGGTAGTCTGCTGGATTGTATGAAGCGGGGGTGCTGTTCAGGTTGTAGGTTGAGTCGCCCGGGGGCGGGGGGTAATAGTTGGGGTTGGGGTTGGGGTTGGGGTTGCTGGGGTAGTAGTGGGGGCCAGGCATGGGCGGGGCACTTGGGGCCGCCTGCGGGGAAAGCGGGTATGGTTCTGGATTGTAGGATTCTTCATAAGGATCACGGTGCACGTTGTCGTCATGCGCTGATTACACCACTAGTCAGGGTAAATATTTCTCGGTAGAAATTTGGTGAAGTGGGGACTTACTGGAGTGTTCGCGATCGCGCTCTTTGGACTTGCGACGCTCGTTGTACTTGTGGGCGGCATAACCGAGGCCTGTTGCGCCTAGTGCGGCCCCCGCGAGGTCTCGTGAGCGGCTGCGATGCCGTCGGCGGTGACCTTCGCCGTCAGAACTGGATGAACCGCTGTAGCGGACTCGGCTACGACTGCGACTGCGACTGCGTGTATGGCGTCTGGGGCCATAGGCTTCCTGTTCATCGTAGTAGGGCGCATCAGGCTGACCGTAGTAATGCTCAGATGGGATGCTACCTGCGACTGGGTCGTTGCCGTATTCGATCAGGCCGGCCGAGTCGCGAGTTGGATCGGGATAGGACTGTGACGGGGCGCGGCTGTGAGACCTTGAGCGATGGCGGCCCCGGCTCGAGCCCTCCTTTTCATCTTTGTCACTCTTCTGCTTCTCGTAGAGACCGGTGGCAGCAGCAGTGACAAGACCGGCAGCCACAATGGGAAGAGCTTGTCTCAGGCGGGATCGGGAGCGCTCACCCTTTTGAGAGCGCGAGTGGCTGCGGACCTTTTCAACCAGGCCAGCCACGGCCGCACCAGCCAATCCAGCCTCAGCCATGTGCTTGCGGCGCTCAGACATGCTGCGTTTGCCCTGTTCCCCATCCTTCTCCGAGCGACCACGGCTAGAAACCCGAGAACGGGAGCGAGTGCGAGACCGGCTTTTGCGCTCATCAGCTTTTGACTTGCTACGCAGTGCAGCCACACCAGCAGCCACGGCTGCGGCACCAACTCCCAGCTCGAGCAAAGTCTTTGCACGAGAGTGCGATTGAGAGCGGCTGCGGCTGCGGCTGTGGCGACTCCGGCCATGTCTGCTGTGACGATGGGAAGAACGGTCATCTTCAAAGGAATGAGAACGGTGACGGCTCTTACTACGGTAGTAGTCACGAGCATGCGATGCAGCACTCACAGCGACTGCACCAAGAGCACCGGCACCAATAGTCCTACCAATACGGCTGGCGCCATGGCTGACTTCGCCATCTTTTTTGTTGTGGTTTCGGAGCAATTCAGCCGCGCCAATACCTACCAATGCACCCTCTGCGAGATGGCGACGGTGGTGAGGGTGGTCGTCATAATCGCGGGTTTCCTTTCGGATGTAGACCATACTGTCATCGCTGCTGTAGTCCTGATCACGATCGCCGCGGTGGCGGCGACTACTCTGGGAAACGGAATCATCAGGGCTCAGCTCACGCCGGGAGCGAGCTTCATCGTACTCGCGGACTCGACGGTGACGGTTGTAATAATACGGGTCCTCGTCCACCTCAGAGCGGCGCACGACATCATACTCGGATTCACGGGGACTGGTATAAATGCGGGCTTCACGAATAAGTACGGGTTGTTTTTGGGTGGACATGGTAGTAGCAGTAGGGGACAGCTCCACTCGGTCCAGGGAAACCCATGGACCGGAAGTGTGGTCGATTGGTGTGGGGATGTAGGGTACTCACAATCATAGTCTCTCTCATAGCGTGTGGGTGGTTCATACTCCACCTCTCGCTCGTAGCGCGAGACGGTCACAGGCTCTTCACGATCCGTTTTGCGCCGGATCACCACCTCGCGCTCGCCGCCAAAGGAGTCATCGTGTCTTGACATGAAGTCTCGACGGTCGTCTTCGGGAGAAATGACGTAACGCTTGATTGACACAGGACGGGTCTCATCCCAGTCTCGTTCGCGTTCTCTGTAAGTGTACGACATGGACGTAATAAGGGTAGTGAGAAATGGGAAATAATTGAGAAATGAGTCGAGAAGTAAAAAGTTGAACGGCAAAAGAAAATAAGATGCACACTGCAGGGAATGGAGGGGCGGCAGAGAAGTGGGGGTGTGCAGAGAGGATGTGATCGACTAATGGCCGAAGATGACTCCAGTAGGTACAGTCCTCTCGGGCTAATTCTGATTGGTAACGGTTATCTTGGCCAAACAAATCAAAGCCAAGAAAAGCCGGTAAAAGCCCAGTGGGTTTGAATAATGATTCAGAATGATGAGAGCCGTCCACAGGTTCTGTAGGGCAGAGAGCGGAGTATGTATTGGCACGCACTCAACCGGCTTAGTCTCCGACTAGATGATCGGCAGGCAGCACTTTGTATGTTGGGCTCGGATAACTCGGAATGGGGAGTTGAAAGGCAGATGGTAAATTAGTGAACAATGAGGCCGCGAGATGAAAATGTGAACGAGAGGATGGAGGGGAGAAATAAAGAGGGAAAGAGGTCAAGAGGATAAAAAGACCAGACACGTGAGGCTCTTTCTCTCGGGTTTGGCAATCTTTGCCCGGGTACGGTGGCGAAACACGCGAAACACTCAAAGACCGTGGCTTTATTTTGTTTACAACAGACTCACTTGGATTGTTTGGTTCTTCCCGCTGCTTAACCCACGGGATTCTCTCGGCTGGCTCGGGATGATTCCGTGGTCCCCAATTTTATATTGATCCTACTTCGGTAGATGCAGCCTCACCTAAATGTCATCTGCTGCATTGACAGGTACATCTAAGAATGGATCGGCGCTATATGCACACAGTCATGAGAGCAGTTTCCTGTAGCGTTTCAGTAGGACACGACTGGATTAGCTACAATCCACACATTGTATTATAGATTAATCTTGATCTCGGGTTAGCATTTTAGGTTGCCGTTTTAAAATGATTATTGGTGTCTTAGCAAAGAAGATTCGTTCCACTAGGCGCCCTGGAGGTGACATCATATGGGGAGCACAAAGACTATCCCCAATAATAGGGCAATAAGAGGCGTATAATCCTGAGCGCCCTGGTCTTGATTTCCGTATGGGAGCCCCGCGGATGACGTCAATGTCATGCGGGGCGTTCTTGGCAACTAATTGTTTATGTACCCAAGTACGGAGTAGGTAACTACAACTTATGTTGCAGTGAAGGCTGAGTCTATTACTTCAATAATGGTCTAAAAGAAAAAAAAAATCAAGTGGGTCTCTCTATGTTATATGCAGAGGCCAAAAAAAAGGAACAGAGACAAGTTACATTGCGTTTCCTCATATTGAACCAATAACAGATAGAAACATCGTTGGCAGATATTGAGTCCCGAGGCAGCGATTGTAAGACTTATGTTTCAAGACCACGAGTCACAGATGACGACAGCATCGCTCAAAACGATAACTGGTAAAGCCTAGACTCGTACTGCATATGCTGTGTTGGCGACCAGCGCTAAAGTCAGGATTCGTCACAACATTGTTTCCTCGCTATTTTTACAAGGCCGTGTATCGGCCTTTGTCCACCGAGGATTTTAATAACTAACCTTTTCTGGCTCATCATGGTATGAGTGGCGTTAGATATAACACCCCGGTGTCTTTTAGGTTTTGTCGAGGTTACAACCTTCTAAAAAATAGCACGGAGTATGTTATAATATTTACGATAATAAAGGCGGTAAAAATTATAACTAAGCCGTACAGAGTGCTTAACTAGTTGTATCTCAGTGCCAGTATCCATCGACCACCCGATATGACTAGTAATACGGTGACCACCGTAACCAAGGAGGAAATCCACTTTCAAACGATAGGAAAGTAGCATCCGGGGTTTTTAATACAATTTAAATTCGTTGGAGATCAGATCATCTGGCACCCTTTGCTCGCATCTCCAATCCATCTGACATGCACCTGACAGTGCGTTTCTTCAACCCCGCTATACTTTTTAGTCCAGGTTACAATTTTATTTTATGGGAGGTCATTCAATTTTCTCTTGTCATTTCATGAGAGACCCCAGCCTAGTATTAGCTAGAGATCATCTACGTGCGACAGTGCGCACCATAATGCACACAGCAGAAATAATTGTTGAATTTCGTGTCGAACAGAATTGGCTGTCAAAGCTAGTGTCGATGTCATGGATTACCAATGCAAATATCCCTGTGAGGCCGTTGACAAGCCTTTATACATAATGAACATAGGAAGCAACACCGTAATATGCTAGATCTCCGTCTTTCTAAAGGCCTTAGGTACAGGCAATCTGACAGGGGTATCGGTTCGTGCTGTGTTCTGAATGAGATGCTCGAACGAAGGCGAGGATCCAACACGAGGCGTGAAAGGCTCAAAGTCCCAGAGGTAGCCTAGAGTACGCAGGATCGAAGAAGCAGAGTAAGATACGACCTCGCCATCCGAGTTGGTGCCCTTCTGTTCGACCTGACCCTTAGAAACCCACGGCGAGATCAAGAGCGTCGGGACGCGGCCACCGAGACGGTCGAAGGAGAACGTATACTCCTCGCCGGAGGGTGCTATCTCAGTGTACGTTAGGTCATCCGGGCGGGTAGCCAGCGGGGGTGGGACGTGGTCGTGGAACCCTCCTGTCTCATCAAAGGTGAGGATGAAGAGTGTCTCTTCCCACTGCGGGCTGGAGCGGACCGCGTCGTAGACATTCTTGATGAGGGCTTCGCCTTCAGAGACGAGACCGGTTGGGTGCATAGAGTTTGTGCCTACACCGCAGCAGGACGGGTCAACAAAAGAGAATTCTGGGAGCGTGCCGGCTGCCGCATCGGCATAAAAGTTATCCAGGGGGACTGCTTTGTCGGAGTTGCCACTCGTGAAGGTCCAGTCGAAGAAGTAGGCATCGACCATACTAGGGCTTGTGTAGTAGTTCTTCCAGGTATGGTTGGTTTCTGAAAGCTGCTGGAAGATCGAACGTTGAGTGAGGCCGTGGACGTCTGGGTTGAAGGCCTCATCGTTGGTACCGTGACCAGCGGATGTGCCTGAGAGTACAAAGGCCCGGTTGGGGTTAGTGGGCTATTTATATATGTTAGCTATACGCGACAATTAGAGAGTAGGAAATTTGCTCGGACTTACACCGGGGTGATCCGAATGCCAGTGGTTGAAGGTGAGGTAGTTCTGCACCAGCGTGGTCATTACCGGCACCTCGTCCTCGATATAGTAGTTGATGACTTGCTTGGCCAGATACGCCTTGTCAGCATCGTCGCCATAGCTGCGTAACTGCTCATGCACAAAGCCATGCTGGGTAGGAGTGAGCATTCCCTGGGCAATGTGGTCATTGCTTGGGATGAAAGTGCCATAAAACTCAATATTGTTCCCAGTCACCGAGTGATCAGGATCATCCAGAACAGAGTCAAAGTCCTTAGCAGAGCTGCACACCTCGCCAGCTGAAGTATCGGTCAAGTTGTACGGGTTGCAGAAAGGGCCGTTGTTGATAGGGTTCTCCAGTCCCTTGAGAGTCTGGCCGCCGAGTAGGTTGTCCACAGAGCGGTTTTCCATTTCCAGGATGACAACATTCTTGATCCTGCTTTTCAGATTGGTGATGGAAGATGAAGAATAAGAGGGTTGTTGAGCCTTTGCATCAGCGGAGATCGCCGCTGCAAAGGCCAACAATCCAAAAAGGGCACTCAATTTCATCATGAATCAAGGGGACAGGTCGGTTCAAAGTCTGGGCCGAGTGCTTGATTTCGGGAGATCTGAATCAAGGGATCTGATGTCTCTCTTATAGTATGTTGCATTCAGCCAAACATCCCTGGCATTCCTCGGAACAATCCAATCTCCAATCTCCCGTTCCACGTGTTGCTCCGGAACTTACGGCTCGATTGAGTTCTGTCTAGAGATATGGGTATGGGGAGTGGTAGTAATCAGGCTGCGGGGTCATATGAATTAACAATCTCACAGGGCGGGGGGTGAATACCAATATGAAATGCACCTGATTGGTGCTCTTCGCATCGTCCCCATAACTCATATGTGATTGGTCACTTAGGATTGATTGGCAAGTACTTCAATCACGTAAAAGACGTACCAACATCATGTAATTGTTTTGCTTCACGCCCTTGAGGCCGGTGATTTACCAGTACTAAGTTACCACCACGCCAAGTATTCGCACAGACTGCGAAAGTGCCAACGCATGAACAAATGACCCTGGAAAACGAGGTCACGAGTTGTTGGCTAGGTATGTTGGTTGCAAGCAATTTCATTCGATCTACTGCCAATAAGACAACACGGGCTTTCCCACGCTAGCATGACTAGAAGAGCGACTTTGACAAGGCTCGGCATACAGAGTCGATTATTGCAGAAGGTAACATTTGATGCTTCTGACTGATCTACTTGCAGCTGCTAGTTACCGCTTTCTGGATTTGTAATACCGCTCGTTCTTTCTCATTTTTAATTGGCGAATATTTGACCGGCAGAATTTGGGGTGCTAACTACTCCGTAGTTATTGACCAATAGTAAATAAGTCACCCATGGCGGCTGTAGTCTCACGCGCTAGTAATTGGCTGTCAACCTTAGGTGATGAGTTGGATTGGCTATTTTGTAGAGTCCGATATTTTGCGAGTCAGTCCATCCTACATATAGTGAGTACAGTTCCAGGGCTTTGTCCTGGAATTCTGGTCTTTTGCTCCTAGCGCAGCGGGTTGACCTCTGGACTTTGAAAGGCACCCAAAGGGTAGCACGTGACACAATGTAGCATTCGGAGAATATCCAAATAGTACAACATACAGGCACAAGCTTGTATAGATGCGGGGGTGAAGTCTTCGACCAAGAATAACTCATCTCTATCTGTAAAGTAGAGATGTCAAACTAACTCACCCCTAGGTTGTATATGTACCTGTCTAGACATATGGAGATGTCTTGTTAAATCTAACTTTATTATAGGCACTTGATCATCAGCTATGTCTTCGCAAGGGAGAATGCTACATGAAGCAGGGACAATATGCTTCCGAAAGAAGAAGGTGGGTCTGTATATATCACGTGTTGATGCCTTATATTGGCACGCAATGTTTGTTAAGTATCACCACGCGATGGACTAGATTGATTGTATCTATACCCTTTTTAATATATGTTTGATTTTTTGAACCCAGGGTTCCCGGGGACTCATCCAATGCGACTGTTCAGAAGATTTCAATTTTATTCTTACATCGATGATCGGGGTAACTGTCGATGATGCCATCTACAAATGTCTCCGCCCCGCCATGAAAAACAATTAATAATCATATCTGGATTTCCAATCTAACCGCCCCTCGTGCTTCGTTCCTTACATATATATACATAGCTTATTTTTTTCAAAAAAGCCCCTTCTGTTTCTAACTTGTCACATAGCAGTATCCTCGTACTGTGAAATACATTACCTCTCATCCGCACCGGGTTCAACAGCCCACTACTCCCATCGCGAGGAAAGCAAAACCCAACAACCTCGACATCACACAAAACCTTTGATATAAAACCATCGACACACAAAACATTATAAAAATGACGACAGCAGCATTCAGATACATCGACCGAGCTTCCTACGACCCTGATGCCACAGAGCCATTCAAAAAGCCATGGGGCAAAGTCGACGGACCAGGCCGGTCCTACCAACTCACAGAACTGGAACGAAAAGTCGAGGATCTCCGAGGCCAAGAATCGAACTTCACAACAGACAATTCCGGCTTCGCCTTATACAAGTCACCCGCAAAGGAGACCGCATTCACCGACGATGCTGAAGTGCGAGCGGGTTACTACGCAGAAGTAGAAGACCTGCTGCGCAAGAAACTGCCCGGGGTGAAAAAAGTAGCCATCTTCGACCATACCATCCGGCGCCGGGTGCCGGGCTCGGCGCGTAGTCCTGTGCAGCTGGTGCACGTGGACCAAACGCCCAAAGCTGCCGAGGCGAGAGTGCGTCGCCACCTGCCAGAGGATGAAGTAGAGGAGCTGTTAAAGGGTCGATACCAGATTATCAATGTCTGGCGTCCGATTGAAAATCCAGCTTCTGATTTCCCGTTGGCGCTGATTGATTGGAGAAGCATTGCTCCTTCTGATTTTGTCAAAGTTGATCTTCTTTATCCGAAGGAGTGGCAGGAGCATGGAGAGGTAGCGCCTGATTCTGAGTCATTTTTCTCTACGGATGGGTATGAGGTCAAGGGAGAGACTTATGCTATCGCTCCTAATGAGGAACATCGTTTCTTTTACGCCAAAGATATGACACCCGAGGAAGTCATGTTCATCAAGTGTTTCGATTCGAGAAGCCACACTATGACTGGGGCCAAGACAGATATTGCTCATGGGTCCGGACATACTGCATTTATTGACCCGCAGACTCCTGCTGGATCGCCCGGGAGGCAGAGCATTGAAGTTCGATGTCTAGTTTTCTACGAATAAGCCTTGGGGTTCTCATGTCACAATGGGTGATGCAGTCAATTCAAAAAAATATAATGTCTGTTATGTAGTTTCTACCCTGTATATCATATCATCCTCATTATCGTGATTTATGTTCCGAGGTTGTCAATGAGTGGGGCTCGGCCGACAGTCACTCAGCTCCCAATGGCACTAGAATGCGCCTTTGATAAGTAGTAACATTAGAAATATACGTAAAAACTCCGTTAAACAGTTAAAAGATACGCAGATTACGAACTAACCCTGTCTTGGCAAGATTATGTGTACGACTTCATGTGAGTCACAGAACATCCCCGTCTCTATTTATTTTTTGACTCTTCACATCCACTAGAAATTTTCGACATATGCTCGCATCTATCGAAGCGATCTGCCAATTTATCAATTACACCAAGACCGCCCACGGAGTTCCCTAGATAGTGAGCCCTAACACTAATAGCCTCTTCTACCCTACAACACACTAACATCTACCGCAGGATTCAAAATGTCCTCTTCAACATCAGAACTACGAGACCAACCAAAATGCTGGACAAAGGGAGAATACGTAGTCTCAACCGACGTATCCCGAATCCCTATCAAAACTCTAAACACCTGGTACGCCGGCGAAGAGTTCTACTGGGCAAAGCCAATGCCGGAGTCCGCTTTGCGCGAAACATTGCAGAACTCCCTCTGCTTCGGGCTGTACCATGATCCAGACCAAACCTTAAGCCAGTCAGACAAGACACCAGAGAACGACGAATTGGCAGACTCCACAATCGAATTCGTCGGCTTCGCCCGCTGCGTAACAGACTACACAACATTTCTCTTTTTGACGGATGTCTTTGTACTTGCCTCGCTCCAGGGCCGAGGCCTGGGAACTTGGCTTGTAAGCTGTGTGCAGGAGGTTATCGAGACAATGCCCTATCTTCGGAGATCGCTGCTGCTTACTAGGGATTGGAAACGGTCGGTGCCGTTTTATGAGAAGGTTATGGATATGGAGCTTATGGTATGCAACCCTCCTGTTAATGGGAAGGATGCGGTGGGATTTGCTATTATGCAGCGGAAGTCTTGGGGGGCTCCTGGGTTTGGGGAGAAGCCCTAGGTATCTCAGCGGGGTTGAGAATGGGTTGCTTTGAGATTATTAGATTATAAATAGAATTGTTGTGGATAGAGATATAGCTGATTGAAACTCTTTTCTTTCCATCACTTCATTGCTCATATGCCTCATGACCAAAATATTAATTCCATCGTATGCCGCCAAAATCCAACTCCTAAACCCAAACCATGAAATTCAAATAGTCATCAATCATCTCATCACATATTTAATCGAACCCATGCCCTCCAGTACCAGAACCTAACGTATCCCATGGAATAGAAGTAGGACCGATCCAATTTTGAGGATGCATCTGACCGAAACCGGAATGCATGGTGTGATCACTGGAGATCGATGCAATAGTTGGCACCGGCGATCCGGATTGCGAGTGTGGATGCGAGATATTATAGCTGTCCTGCATTGTCATTCCCTGGGGGAGGTTTGACATTGAGAGGGGCATTTGGATGCTTGGTAGGAGGTGAGTGTGGGACTGGGATTGAATATTGGCTTGGTTTTGTTGGAGTTGGACTTGGGCTTGGACTTGAGCCTGGGCCTGGGCCTGGGCTTGGAGGTGGGATTGAGAGTGGGTAGGTGATTGGGGGTTGTATTTCGTTGAGGCAACATCGCTGGTTTGTATGTTAGTCACTAGTCCAGGGGAGAATCTAGGTAAGGGCGGGGTGTAACTTGGACATACATCATCTGTCGAATTATGGGAACAGCCTTGCTGCAGAAAACGCTGCGGACTGAGAGCGAGGCGAACATATCTAAGGCCCGATCGAGTATATCTTTGATCTCTTCGTACTCGGACTGGCCCTCGGGGATGAGCAGGATGATAGCCAATGTGACTGCAGCGTGGAACGCGTGGAAACTGCCTAGTCCGCTGGTATACCATTTGTAGGGCTTAAACGATTGTGTTTCGAGGAGAGTTTCAAAAATGGAAAGTGAAGCCTTGGCGGAAGCGATGCACTTAGCTCTTGTAGAGCAAGTTTCAGATGTAATCTCGCCTTGTAGGTAACGGCAGAGACTTGGGCGGAGGAGGAGAAGGAGAAGCTGATGGATCTGGCTGTATATGATGTGGTGGTTGGCTTGGTGGTGAATGGGTAGAGGATTGTTCGTATCGAGCGTATAGCGAACCTCGACCATTTCACGGACGGATATAATTTCCGCTTCGAGTTGAGAGGTTGTGAAGCGGGATGTATTTGGGTAGCTGAATATTGTTTCACAAATCTTCGAGGAGATTTTATATAATCGGAAATTCAACAGGAGGTAGGTCATCTGTGTTGGGCGGGGGAATGTTGAAGGTGCTGGTCTTTTTAGGTTGGGGCTGGTGAGCAGATCAACGTCGTCGATGTCTGCGGGCAGTTTTACGTCTTGCGTTAGAGCCTGCTGGTCGAGGCTCCCAAATGCTGTGTTTTGGATGGTATAGAGCATCATTAGTCCGGCCCAGACCCGTCGTCGCTCTTCTCGCTCGATTGGCCCGAGGGTAAAACGATCTGGGTCTAAATGGCAACCCATTGATATTGCAACATGATGTGTGAATCCTAGCATTGTCCAGATTGGTAGACCGCGGTGAATTCGGGCGTAATTTATAAGAACTAAAGCTTGTAATGAGTTGATCGAATGTCGGGACGTCACACCATCGGCGGCGAGGCACCGCAACGCAGCAGATCGATATCGTGCTGACAGCACTTTGATATTTCGGCTGACCGTTCGCTCTCGCCCTAGATCAGACAGCAGAGGATGGTCATCATCGAGCGCGCTTATGGCGATAGCGAGAATGGCGAATAGCAAAGCCAGCCATGATGTAGACACACTGCCAGGATCATGACAGAAATGCTGATACTCGGCTTCGAACGTCAGATCGTGAAGAATATGGAAAACCTAATGTGTTATCAGCTAGCGTTCCCCCATTTCTTTCGTATGACATACCGAGGAAAAGACCTGAAAATAAACATCCTTGAGGGTATCACAATACCGGCCAGGTGGCAGAATCGACAATAGCTCAGCACGGGATATACTTCCATTCCTCGCCAATGGGATCTGCAAATCATCGTCATCCTCCGCGAGATCCGAATCTAAATTCGGTAAACACTCCGCAGCGGGGCTATTCGCCACTAGAGACTCCCACTGCGAAGCTAGTGGCACATAGCGGACATGACCAGAAGGCGAAATACGAAGTGTGCCAACATTATCCAACATGGGGCCGAGCGAGTCCCATGTCTCAGGCTCCGAGAAACTACCCGCTGCACTCGTCCCACCCAGTGGCGAGACTGCGCCACCAGTGGGCGTGCCAGCATGCGAGGTCATCTGCTTCTGGAGCAAGGCTTCTAGATTCCGAATTCGTGCTAGCAGTTCGTTCTGCACTGCGCTGTCACCGGGCGAGGACTGCTCAGTTGAGAGCCGCGGCTGGCCGAGGTAGATGCAGTCTTCAGCGCCTAGACCGCGCCGCACGCATGTTTGGCATGGCCGGCCGTCGCGCGAGCATCTGATCTTTCGTATTCGGCAGGCCTGACAGCTGATGGGGAGGCGCTTGCCTGTCAAACGGGATGAGGCCATAGATTGGGAAGTGAGGTCAAGGCTGCGCTAGACTGAAGCAAGCGCAATCACCTCGTCGTCTGAGGGGATTGGAGAGAGTGTGAGATTATAGAGCGAAGAGGAGCTGCCTCTCAGGAAAATCGAACGGCCGGTTTCAAAAAGGGGTACTTCGCAATATATGTTGTGGGTATGGATCGACTGGTTGTCGTCTGTTCATGGGTCCATAAGAAAATAGGGAATGAGAACCCACAATGGATGAGCGGGGGATATTGATGTTTTCAGAGTTGAGATAAACAGCGGATTGTCGAAGTCTTCTATACTTCAGCCCGATCCAATTTGTAATAGGAGGCAACCTTTTTTGGGGAAGCCACATGGGGATGCGTGTGAATATTGGCGGCATACTTATTTGCCCCTGTCTTGGAGATGTCAGCCGAGCAGAAAATAATAAATATAATTATTACCAAAAAGGTCTAGGGTTCGACAGCCCTGGAGGTGATAACATCCCTTTTACGGGGAGACCGATGTATGAAACCCTTCTATAAGGGTGGGAAGGGTCCACGATCAGAGAGTTCAGCGGATATGTACCTCCGATGCTACTAACAAAATACAGTATAGACCGTGACAGACCACCGGGATTGCTTAGTCCTAATAGGGCTTTGATACACCTATAAACCATGGTTTCGGGCCGTCACCCATGTCGGCCCTTTGAGGAACACATTGCTTAACACCGAAGAAAGTACGAAGATACTACGATGTAAGTGAAGTGTGTATGTTGTATGTGTACGATACCAACATACGTGGATCATAGGGATAACTCGTTCAGACCGAGGTGTGCCGTTGCCACTAAACGGGCCTAAGCCACTCAGCCTGCCGATCATTTCCCCTTACACTCGGCTTCTCGTACAGATCGGCGCGAATATGGCCATTAGTGGTTAGTGTGGCTTTCCTCAGCCACATGCGCCATGACGACAATCCCTGTCTAGCGGTAGTGCGCCTTACTTAGAACAACCCTGGAGGGACTCCATAAACGTGAAAATTCTGAACTTTTCAGCTCGGAGATATCAATGTCAGTTCTAGTGGTTCGTATGAGCGTTGAATTGTTTATTTTTCCTTGATTTCTATAGGACCCACGGAGAGACTGGCTTCGTTGTGATTTTACCAAGAATTACTCTATTTTGCTGTTGTTTAGAATATTCGCCTGATATAAGATCATTTAATGGAACGCACCAGAATATTATTATAGTAAAGAGCCCTTCCTGCGGCTCTCCAATTCCATATTCCCATTGTGCGAAGGATCGTCTGTGGGCTCGGACCCTCCCTCGTGTTCCTGCCTCTCGGGAATCCGATAACTTTAACGTTCAACTACTTTATACATAGTCACTTTGCAGTGAAAACTGCCGGCTTCCAGGTTGACTCCGGGGTAATCCGGTGAACCAGCTAGAAAAGAAAGAGCCAAAAAAAACACTACATGGACACTTCAAAATAAAGAATGGAAGTCAAATCAAAAGTACGTGGCAAACAGTCCCGGATATCGGGAAGCATCTAGAAGAGCCAACTGTTGCAAATAATCACCCGTAGTTCCGGCTATTCCTCCGGATTGTGGGTTATGCAGCTTTGATCATCGGTAGAGATCATCCCGACGCGTGGCGATAGAGTTTCTGAGGCAATAATATGCTGCTTAGGAAGGATTCGATAACTATGTCGTAGGAATGTCAATATTATATTACCGGCTAGACCGACAATGACAGCATGTAATTCTGCATACTCATCATCGGTCGAACGGCGAATGGTGAACGGCGAATTACTTTGTAAGTCTGATCTGTTTTAGTTCTCCATGCGTCTGGTGGGGAACCCAAGGCTGAAACGGGGGCAAGACACGAGCTGCGTTCCACAAGTTCTTGCTTTGCTTTTTAATTTAAATACTCCAGCCCAACAATTGTTTCTGGGTAAATTACAAAAGCCACAAATTTAATATTCAGTCAGAAGAAAGGGGTTGGAATTCTGCTACTTGCAACAAAGTGAAGAATATTTGAATAAATGTGCACTTCTGGGATTACGGTTGAGATGGCATTTGTATAAGCGCCTGGATAATCTCCCCGAAGCCCTGCTAAGGCAGGGAGTTCAAACTGCCTTTGCTGTTTCATGCGTCGATACATGGCTAGATTCAATGTGCTGTGTCTCGCCAACCACACTAAGCGCACGCTTAGGTCCCTCGTCCTGAGCCACAACCTGGTCACCGAACGCAGCAGCCACTTCTTCGAGGGTCTTCTGCTTGGTTTCCCTGGACAAGGTTAGCCTCTTAAATTCTTTTGATCTCTTTCTCTTCGTCTCCGATGAAACAAGTTGAAGGGAAATATATTAGCGACTTACGGGAAGTAAAAGTAAGCGATCACCAAGAAGAATGCAGAGCAGACTACAAAGACGTAGTAGTAGTTCTCGTGGATATTGGCGAAAGCACTGGGTCCAGCCTCGGT